AACAATCTCCATAAATCTACATTAGACTAATATAGATTTATGGAGATTTCTAATGTTTCGCAAAAGTTATCACATAGATTTTTGACTTTTGAAAGTGTCCGTCCATTACAGCCAATCAAAACCTGGAAGTGAGATCATATCTCAGCAACAGTTTCTATGTATCCAGACCAAACTTGGTATATGGTCTTAGGAATTTATTTTGAGAAAGCCCAAAAGCACTGGCATCATTTGCCCTCTACAGGGTGTGGCATTAAGAAAAATGTGTTTTCCTTAAAAACACAACTCTTGTCTCTGGTAATACCATAAAAGGTCAAGACAGCAAAGCAAAGCTAAGGCCTGACATAGTCTTGTGGTCTAGGAGTAGAATGAGAGTATATTTCATAGAGCTGACTGTTCCGTGGGAAGCTTCAGTTGTAGAAGCATATGAAAGGAAAAAGCTTAGGTATGTAGAGTTAGGGGCAGAAGCAGAGCAGCAAGGATGGAAAGTTAGGATTTGTCCAGTGGAAGTAGGATGTAGAGGATTTGTAGCAAGGTCTGTTGTCTCTTTGGTGAGGGAGTTAGGAGGAAGTGGACAGAGTGTGAGGAAAATAGTAAAGGACATGTCAGATGAGGCAGCAAGATCCAGTCATTGGATTTGGATGAGAAGAAATAATGGTAGCTGGGGACCCAGCAGGGGGAGCACTTAGGATAGACAGACTCTTAAGAGAAGCAAGGAAGAAAATCCAGGAAGAGGAAGTGTTTTTAAGTGGGGGGTGTGGCCTGTGTGAGCCTCTTTGAGACCATGCGGTTAGTCCAGGTGAGTTGGCCTGTATTGTTTGTTTGTATTGTTTTGAATTGGTTTGTAGTGTGTCTTTGACTGTTTAGGTGAGTTTGTTTGTTTTAGGTGAGTTGTATGGTGAGTTGTATTGTCTTGGAGAGTGGGGGAGTAGGGGGAGGTAGAGCACAGCCTAATCCGGTGGGGGAGAGTTTAGCCCAACAAGGCATCTCTCCCTGACTCTACCTCCCTCATTCAAATTGGCCGCCACTTTCTGGGGTGGGGTGGGGGGGGATCTAGTTCTACACAGCAGAACAGAACTGTTTAGGGGAGTTTTTGTTTGCTGAATCTGCTAGTGTGTTTTGTCCGAGTTGATGATAGTTTTGTTTGAGGTAGCATAGGCAAGATAAAAGAGAAAATAGTCGTGGTGTGAGGAGCATGGCATGTGTGGCTAGCATTAGGGGAGTGACTCTGGGACGCCAGTCATCACTGTCTAGCCTCCTGGAGGTGTCGTGGGACTTTAGTGAGGATTCTTCAGAATTGATGAGGCATTTTGTTGCTTTCGTTCAGTTACTTTATTAACATGATTTAATTGATTTAATAAGAAAAAGAAGAAGAAAAAACATTCACTGGCACATTGAGGACGCCAGTCAATTCTATTAGTCCAAAAATTCCCCTGATTTCCTGCAGCTGCTTGCATTTCTCAACTCTCCACACACGCCTCCCAGAGCACTCGGGGTGGAACCGGGCGTGGCAAAGGTAAGCAAAGACAGTGCAGTATAGTGCTGTCCTCAGTGCTGAATCTTCTTAAAAGACATTTTACATGATGAGTTGCAACAGGGACCAACTAGATGAAACACTGGTGAAAGGAGGTTCCCACCTGATGACCCCAAAGACATGTTAGTTATCACTGCTCATTAGTCTGTATAGCTAAATTAATAGTTATCATAGGACTTAGGATGTTAAGCTTAGGGAGCTATTCACTGAGTCTGGTCTGTAGCACAAGTTTCTTGTGTTTACCTTAAATAAATGGCAACTTCCCACATAATTCTAATTGATGCAGCTGTCATTTTGGATTCTATTGGAAAAAAGTTTTTGCTACTCATTGGACAATCTTTGTCCAATCTTTACCAAAGTTGGCACAGATGATCTTTAGACCAAGATTCAAATTATAAGATGGATCTTTAATTTTTGATTTGCGAAAGTATTCAACCTTAACATCAACAACAATCAAAATTGGCAACAAAGGGGCCAAACAAGAAATCAAGTCATCTTTCATCACCTGACATGAAACTTGCTGTGAGTGCTTAGAATTTTTTGATGAATCAACCTTTTATGATAATGTCACCCTGTGTTATACAGTGGCAAGAAAAAGTATGTGAACCTTTTGGAATGTCGTGGTTTTCTGAATAAATTTGTCATAAAATCTGATCTGATCTTTATCTAAGTCAAGGGTACTGACAAATATAATGTGTCTAAAATAATAACAAGAAAAAATCTGATCTTTCATGTCTTTATTGAACACACTCATTCAACATTCAAAATGGCAGTGGAAAAAGTAAGTGAACCCTTAGAATTGATAACTGGTTGACCCCCCCTTAGCAGCAATAACCTCAACCAGGCACTTCCTGTAGCTCTGGATCAGAACTGCACATCGTTGAGGAGGAATTTTTGCCCAATCTTCCTGGCAGAACTGCTTAAGCTCCCATATTCTTTGGACGTCTCATGTGTATGGCTCTCTTCAAGTCAATCCATAGCATTTCTATTGGGTTGAGGTCTGGGCTCTGACTTGGCCACTCCAAAAGGCGGATTTTGTTTTTCTGGAACCATTCCGTTGTGGACTTGCTCTGGTGTTTTGGGTCGTTGTCCTGTTGCACCACCCACTTTCTAGAGAGTTTCAGCTGATGTACAGACATTCTCAGATTATCCTGAAGAATTCTCTGATAAACTTGGGAATTCATCGTCCCCTCAATGATTGCAAGTTGGCCAGGCCCTGATGCAGCAAAGCAGGCCCAAATCATGAAGTTTCCTCCACCATACTTTATGGTTGGGATGATGTTTTCATGACGATATGCCGTGCCCTTTCTACGCCAGATGTAGTGCTGGGTGTTTTTTCCAAATAGTTCAATCTTAGTTTCATCAGTCCACAAAACATTTTGCCAATACCGCTGTGGAGTGTCAATGTGCTCTTTTGCAAACTTCAGGCGTGCAGCAGTGTTCTTTTTAGTAAGCAGTGGCTTCCTTCGTGGTGTCCTGCCGTAGATACCCTGCTTGTTCAATGTTTTACGTATTGTAGACTCATGAACAGAGATGTTAGCCAGTTCCAATGATGCCTTCAAATCTTTGGCTGTCATTCAGTGTTGTTTCTTTACCTCATTGATGAGTCTTCGTTGTGCTCTTGGTGTCATTTTGACTGGGCGTCCACTTCTTGGTATAGTAGCAACAGTCCCAAAGTGTCTCCATTTGTAGATTGTTTGCCTAACTGTAGACTGGTAAATTCCTAAAGTCTTTGAAATCACTTTGTAACCCTTGCCAGCTTTATGTAAATCAACAATTCTTGATCGTAGATCCTCTGAAAGCTCTTTTTGGCGAGGCATGGCTCACATAAACGTGTTCTTCTTTTGCAAAAGAAACTCCAAAAGTTTGAGGGGTTTTTATCAGTCAAAGTAGCTTTAGTCCACACCCCCAAACTCATTGTCTTAACGAGACTCCAGGTATGCTAAAACCTGACACCAATTAGCTTTTTTGAGGTCATTAATTTAAGGGTTCACATACTTTTTCCACAAGCACTATGAGGATTTTTTTGGTTATTCTCAATAAAGACATGAAAGATCTTTTTTTTTTTGTGGTATTATTTAAGACACATTATATTTGTCAATACCCTTGACTTAGATGAATATCAGATCACATTTTATGACAAATTTTCTCAGAAAACCATGAAATTCCAAAAGGTTCACATACATTTTCTTGCCACTGTATATGGTACAGCTATGGACCAGACTGGCTTCAGATTGGTGGAGCATCTGAGTGCTGGACCATGTGTCACATATTGAGTTCCATCACTTTTAGTCTGTATATTAAGGCTGTGTTGTTGCAGGTTGCCATGGTCAGCCATCTTGAGCAACCACTTACTAAAGGCAGCATGGGTTGGATGGAGTAAAGACTAAACTAAAACTCCTCTTTAGAAGTAGATTCCCTTTGATACTGTGTGGAGGCTCGAACTCGGCTTGAGCTGTATTGACCTGTCATCAGGCCCCTCTGACTGAGCCCTCTCTCTTTCTATATTGATGGAAACCTGCGCAAATTAAAGCTGTGACTTGACAATGCAAAGTAGTATCAATTATTTTATTATAAATTGCCTGAAGAACGAATGGATATGTAAGTGTCCAAATACTTACGGCCTGTTTTAGTATTGACTTGTAGTGCCACTGAAAATGTCTTTGTGTGCCTACACACAGGTGTCATCGGTTGCTATAATGTAAGACTGAGACTACGATATGATTGGATCTTTATGCCTTATACTGAAGAATTGTTGATTTTATTTGGTTTAGTTTTTTGTCATTGTAATTGTTCAACTCTAATACTGTGAGATTTACATATCAGTGACATTTGCCGGTGAGCTTCCTTCAGTATCATCTGTAATAGAGCAGCTTTCCTCTCAGTGTGATGGACTTTTGGTGAAATATATACAATACTGAAGCATGTATGAAAATGAATATATCTCGGTTGTGGCCCAAGAAGCATGTTTTGTTTGAAATGGTTTTTTTGAACTGCATCAGTCTCTGCTGTCTCAACTGCCTGTGAGGACAGGACACGCCCCCCTCCATGCATGGTGCTTCTCGCTCATTGTGTGCATTATTAGCCAGTGCCATGTCAAACGCTAACACATCCAGCAACACTGGCTGTGTGATAGGGCAGCTATGCTTTCTGGTGAAGCATGTGCACAGCTGTGGTGAGGAGCTGCAGCATCAGAGGGTTCAGACTGGACACTGAGATTCACATCTTCACTGTCACTATCAGGCTCTACAGAACAGAGGGATAAGATGACAGACGCTGTGGTAATGAAAACGAAATGTTATGTTTACCAGGTCTACTTAAGATAAATGCAGTTAACTTTGTATAACTGTAAAGGAAATGATTTGTGACTGGGGAGGTAGAATCTGACAACCTGATTTGTTGACTGTTTGAGTTTTAAGGCTCTACAGAAGTTAGTAGGTGGTTTGAACATGTTCTCCTGCTTTCTCAGGTATCGCATGCATCGCCCTCTCATTCGTGGATGCCCGTGGTCACCCCCTTCAGGTTCCAGCTCATGACGGTGCCGCACTGCAGAGGTCAGAGAACTGCACCACCCCCCTTCACCCGGACCATTTTGATGAGCTGACCACTGTGGTTAAAGTGGACTCCGTCACTGTTGGCTCAGGTACAGGTAAACACAGCTCTGAGCTATTAGTTTGGCCTGTGTTGATGGTTGATGCTGGTTCTTAGAGGTGGGTTGGAGTTAGAAAGAGGGTCAGGTTAAGAGTTAACTATTAGCTGAGGGATTCATCACACACAGGAAGCGCCACAACAAAACAAAGTTCAAAAAGATCCTTCTGGACAAAGACAACTTCATTTTCATCTATAGTTCTTTAGTTTAAAGCTAAAGCTGTGGTCAGGCTGGTGAAGATGCTCAGTTTACTGATGGAGCAAGGGTCTTGAATTAATGGGGCCTTGAAGCAACAGTGCCCTTGAAATATTAGAAAACGCAAAGCAAAAGTGAAGGTCTAAAAATTTCTTCAACCATTAAGAGCTTCCTTTTTCTTCTTTACTGTGTAATAAGGATAAAGATGAAAATAGTAATGGAATGAGCGGTGTGATGAGTTGGCAAGAGAGAGAATAATTTATGGCTATACAGCTAATGATACTATGTCTACAAATGAGATTTGAGGAGTAAATATTTTTATAATATATTTCAACATCAACCCAGTCATGAGCAGAGTGTTAAGACCAGCCTTCTGAGAGTTGCGCTGTAGCTGGAGACCCTTGGATGGAACCCACATGGCTGTGGTTGTCGTGGTAACACTGGAGACGCGGGATCTAGGTGGATTCTCCTGGAGGCTGTGTCCTGTTATCACGGTGACGGATTCTGCCGGTGTCTCAGCGATTCAGCACTGGTGGAGTTTGCCAGGAGACTTTCTGTCTCGGGCACTCTTGATTTCTGCTCGGCTTCTCTGCAGGTGGCTGTGCAGATGTGTTATCTGCCGACGTCTCTTGCGGGTTGATGCGAAATAAACTCTAAGGCACTTCACTTTGGCTGGATAACTTTAGAGGAGACTGCCGTTGACCAGATGACTTTAAAACTGTCAAAAAGCTTCAAAATCGAAAACGTGATAATATTTAAATAACTACAAAATTACGTGTAGACAAAAAGAATGTTACTTGGCGCACGTGGCAAAGAAAGAATAAAGGATGCGGACAAATGAAGTGCAAAAATGGCTAAATGCCATGAATTTGTGGCTAGCAGCTTAGAGCTAAGAGCCAATGACTTAGAGCCGATGACTTAGAGCCGGGCTGTTGGTAAGAGCAATGTGTGAATTGATGACAACTGTTTTATCCCCTGGGGGCCGGCGCACGTTTCTTGGGCGTCACCCATCTCCTCCTGTGTTTCAGCTTGGAGAAGAGAGTAATTTTCCACTGAACTTTTGAATAATTTAATTCTATAGTTTACCTATAAACTCACACATCTGTCTTCCACCATGACCATAAAACATTAAATGAAATAACATATAAACATAATGGCACTAATAATGACAGACAGGAGTAATACAAGTGTGGATTTCATATTACATCCTTCAACCCTGGAATTAATCATGATACAAGTGGTTAACTGATCAAACAACAATATAAACATTTCCCAAAGCTAATAGTAGCTAATAGTTATAAATGTGGATTACACAGTAGTTCTTTGACTGTAATAATAATGATATGGACATTGTGGATGTCATGTAGTGTGTGTTACCTTGTGTGAAGGATGCTGACAGTATGGTTACATGAAGGACATTGTCTTAAAATCTACATGTTACATTTCAAACATTCTATGGGATAGAAGTTTGGGATTAAACTATTGCTTAGGAACATCTCATGAGTTACAGAACAGCTAGATATTTAATTTTACATTCTTCCTTAGATCTGTGTCTGTGAAGAGAGTTCTGCTGGTCACTACCCAGGATTGGAATGTGGGTTGTAAGTTTATGACTCTTATCTAGAGAGGGACAGAGGAAGGGAGGTTGGTGTGTGTGTGTGTGTGTGTGTGTGTGTGTGTGTGTGTGTGTTCATGCATGGCACAGAGGGGCCAGGATTCACACCTTAGTGTTAATCAGTCCTTTTGTTGTTACTTGTCCTATACAAGAAACAATCAAATATCATTAGACAAAGTCTTATTGTTACAAACTGGAGATTTTGCCTATATTCTCCAGTTGCCTGGTGTCCATTGGTTGATCCTTTAGAGCCTACCCTTTGACCTTTGGTCTGGTTCTGTGTTGTTTGGACCTGCTAAAAGCATGGTCTGTGATAAGGGAGATTAGGGGCCTTTGTCTCTGTTTCCTATCAATTTGATAGTTTGATGGTGGGAAGAGTCACAAAGTGTCAATTGTGGGTCCGTAACTCTGCATGTCCTTATAATGAACTTCATTAGTGGCTTGTGACTGATGCCAGGCCAGGTATGTACGCTACAAAGGTTACAGCCAGTCATTTCATTGTATAAACTGCTCTCATTTTAAAATTGATTAATTACTCTCATAAACGTTAGGCGTCATCATGGGTAACGGTGCAGCTATGAAATTTAAAGTCTGCCCCTAAAACTGAATGAGTAAATCATCCTGTTTAATGAACACAAGTCTAATATATGAAGAGATTTGTGTTGTTGGAGACTGAATGTGTGAGTGTGATGCTGCAGCACAGAGTCATGAATGAAAAGCAAGTCCTAGTTTTGGGCTTATTCATATATTTCTTTTCATAAAGTGTTTGTCCTGCAACACCAGAAAAACAACAAATAAAACCCAAGCTGTTTAGTTGTGGGCATTACAATTGTATGTTTAATTAATTAAAACTTTATTGTGCTATTGTATATTGTTACTTAAAAGCACTTAAAGTATGAACAGTGTGTGTGGCGCAGCTAAGTGCATACAGGACGCAGTACAGAGGTTTGCATTGGTGTCAACAGTAGACACTCGGTGTACGTCTCTTTAACATGAATATTATTTTTGATAATCGCTCTTCAGATGTGGTCTTTTATCAGATTTATCAGATGTGGTCTTTTATCAGCCCCTAACCCTATCTCAAGGTATTGTTACTACTGCTGACACAATATTAAAAACACATTTCTCAGAAACCCCGCCCACCCAGAATACTAACCCTACCCCCAGAGGCTGTCTGTTGTTATCTGTTTAAAAACCTAAACATTTCCAGATGCCAATGATCCTTTCAGGAACTAAAACAATATTATTATGTTTGAGTCTCTGTTGTTTTCTCAGTCACAGACATTAAAATATTAAAACACACTGAGTCCTGTTGTGTCTGCTTGTCTTCTCACAGAGCCACAGCTGTATGTGCGCTTTGACATCTGGGAACAAGGCAACATCAGCCCCTTACAGCTCAGTGACAGACTGCAGGGGGCACTGCGCCACGCACTCTGTGACGTTGTCATGGAGCTGAGAGTCTTACCAAATCCTCTGTGTCTGGGCATGGTGTGCCCGGCAACCAAGGCGCAGAGAGAAGAAGCTAAAGGTGAGGTCTCTGTTCATCTTCCTCTGTAGTGTGTGTTGGTTATTGTCTGCAGCCAAACTTCATATACACATCATAATACTGTGCGATGTAATCCAGTATTCATGTCATTAGATTCATATTTTTATCTGTTGGTGTAGATGTGCTGATGTTGTTTATTTTGATTCATTTGTTGCAGTACAACAAAACCAGCGCGAGACCCCAAGCTCCAGTACGTTATCCCCAGACCCCAGTGTCACTGTGAGCTTTCTGGTTTCACTGTAGAATCACAGAGAAATAAAACCAAAAAATACACATGTAGTCATCTGCCTGCTGAACACACCAGTAGCTTAGAGAGCTACTGCTGCTGATTGGACAGCTGGTTCTGAGGATCAACCCAGTTTTAGTGTGACACCTCACGTCTGGAGTGAATTTGGGATAAAAGTGCAGGTTATATACACAATTGACAGATTCTCACTTCACTAGTTTTATTTGGCCAAATCTAAAAACAGCAGCTGTGATGAAGAACTTTTAATGTGTTCACAGGAACAAACATAAAGTGGTGATGTCTGAAGACTGATGTCTATACAACCTTCATCTCAGGCTGCTGAATTGTTATATATATATAAACAAACAGAAAGATCAACTGTGTTTCATGTTTGTGATCATGTGTGTTTTCAGGTCTGTTGATTCCTCTACCTGAGGTGAAGGAAATGAAAGACAGCCCCCGGCAGCGCAGTGGCTCACGGGTCTTTAAAACCAGCCCCTCTCCCATCACCTTAACCCAAGCTTTGGGGAGCACCCCCGTGACAGGGACCGGAACACCCGAGTCCACCACACCCACTGGCAAGAGCACCCGCCGGAGTTTCTGGGACATACTGGTCAGTTCCTCCAGAGCTTACAAAGTGTTATACATGGGTATAATTGGGTTAAATAAACATTAGTTATCATGTGATGTCTTCTAATTCATCGACTGGACTAAGATCTGAACTAAAACCACCTACTGACATTATTCAGTGTTTTCTGTCTGTTCATCAGTAATAATTTAATAACAGACCAAAACATGAAAAACTGTTTCAGTCAGGTTTAAAAGGGACAGGTGTTGTATGAATTGTTTGCCTCATATCTGGAGTCTGGAGTGTTCAACATAATAATTACAGACATGTTTAATTATGATTAAATCATTAATTGATAAATATGAAAGCAGATATAGTTATGCATCATTCCTTCAGTTGAATCGTGCATAAAGAAATCAATGTCAATCAATTTGCCAATGATAATCATTTCATCTTTAAATCATGAATTAATAATTGAATTTTAAAATAGAATGAATCAATACATTTTAGACTTTTTTTTTAAATGATTGTGTTTATTAATGTGTCCGTTATATTCCATCTTAAAAAATTATCTATGTTGTGTTTACAGTTTACACTTTGTGGTTGGCTGTCTTTAGTTTAAAATTCTGGAATCACTTACAAATGAAATGATGTCCATCTCACAGATCTGATCAACTGATCAGTGTATGAATTGATTTGAATTAAAAACCAGAAAAGTGTATTTTTGTTATAGTGGCACACTCCAGACTCTGTACTCCCAGCAGTGACCTACAGATCAGATTATGTCCTCTAATCCCATTTTACCATCCTGTCAGCACACACAGTACATTCAGTTGTCAGTTTATTAGGAACACCTGGCTAAAACTAAGTCAGTCTAATGCAGGAATCCTGCAGGAAATCCTCCTTCATTGGTTTTAATGTTCAGTTTGTAGAGCTGATGATTCAGATGTAGGGTGATGAAACAGTGGTTATTCATGCATTATTTATCACATCCCACTTGAGCCACTGTAATACTCTGAGTTTATATACACTATAAAACAGATCACATACTAGCTGGCGCAGAATTCACTGACTACTGAATTTTAGATGATTTTGATTATTTATAAGTTTTTGCATGAATCACTTTTGAAGCACATGTGCATCCTGGTAACATTTTAGGCTTTATTCCTCCATGACCCAGTGAACCAGGTGAGATGCTCTGATGAAGCCCTGTTGGTTGTTCCTACCACCCACAGAGCTAAGTTAATTCCTCTCATCCTTGCAGAGTAAGCCAGACTCATCGGAGCTGGGGAGCCCAAAGACAACTGATGACATTGTGCAGGAGAAAGGGGAGGAGGGCCGAGCAGCGCGGCGGAGACACAAGACAGAGACCATAAAGCAGCAGTGGAGCCAGGAGAAAGCTGTGGCTGTGGAGCTGGAGCAGGCCCAGAGGTGGGGTACAACTCAAACCTTAATCAGTAACATCACCGCACTGAATTCTTACTAATGATGCTGCAAAGGTTTGACTGAAATCACAGAAACATCACCCTGCTGTTCAGAGCGTCTCTGATAAAATACAGGTAGATTGGCAGCACATGTTAAGCTGGCCTCAAAAATCCTGGGAGTCATTTTTAACCAACTTTGAGTTGCATGTAAATAAGAAGATCCGATCACATGACCAAAATCAAATATGTACTATCCTTCCAAGAGCTGGAACAAAATTATTCATGATGATTCATGTTTCCTCACTGTTCACCACTCAGTCACTTCTCTGTGTCCCAGCTCCAGTTGGTGCAAAATGCAGTGATGTAGGTCACACATGATATCACTGCTGGCCTGTTCACATTGACTTCAGAGGGGTTTTCAAAATTCTCTTAGTCACCTGTAAATCACTGCATGTACTGAGTTAGTGTGCACCCAGGCCACAGCAGATCTCTTTCTGACCCAAACACTACGTAGACACCACTGGGGACGCACTCTCACAGTTGTAGCTCCACCCTCTGATAGTTTTTTTTTTTTAAAGTATATTTTTTGGGCTTTTTTATGCCTTTATTTGATAGTGCAGTAGAGAGAGACAGGAAATGGGGAGGCAGAGAGAGGGGGAATGACATGCAGCAAAGGCCGTCCGATGCGGGACTCGAACCGGGGCCAACTGCAGCGAGGACTGTGGCCTCTACACATGGGGCGCCTGCTTAGACCACTACGCCACACGACGCCCCACCCTCTGATAGTTTTAAGAAGCTGTGGAAAAAATAGTTTTGTTGGAATATTAAATTTTCAGATGTATTATACAGGACACAGAACACTCCTAGTCAAGGGGGGGGTACAGCTGTTAATTTCTGAAGACCGTCTATCAGTGAGGAGAGGGCAATCAGATTTCCATGTCAGTGTTTTCCTGGCTACGCATAAAGATGTTTCCATAACTCTGATTTGAGAATTAGTTGAAAATCTACTGACACCTGTGAGCAAAGCTCAGGCCTAATGGGAAGGTAACTCCTGTCATCTTGGTCATGGTGTCGACGTTGTACCAAAACAGCCTCAGCTTTATAAACAGACAGGTCCAGTGCAGGAAGGATCCGACATCTGCACCACATCTGAAGAACAGCTCTAAAAGTTCAGGTCTGGATGTCAGTAGTTTCTGTGGAGAGAAGTTCAGTTTATGGAGGAAGTCATTGTGAAACAGCCTGTATCTGCCCTGACTTAAATCTGACCAGACCTGTTCATCAGTTGGTATGTTCAAATCTGACATCGACCTCAAACGTGGCTTTGAGCCGTTGTTCAACAGTGAGGACAAACATGTTAGAAAAATAATCTATTCACCTTTCCCTCATGAAGCAGTTTCTCCACATTAGTACAAGCATTTGAAGTCAGAGAAGATCTTAACTGAAGAAGATCTCACTGGACAAGTCTCATGTTTCCTCTTCAGTTGTTCAAAGTTTCAGTTTTATTCTTTTTTATGTTCTACATTGTTTTTTTCTTTTTTAAACTGTATTTTTTCTTCCTGTTTTTGTTGTACAGCTTGTAACTCTTTCAAAAGATGCTTTATATACAAATTCACATGTTCTATATGATATGATATCTGATATGATCAGATATGGGTTTTTTTTTTTTTTTTTTTTTTCAACTGTGTGGATGTTTTGTGCCTGTGTAGGAGGCAGGTGTCTCATTTGGAGGAGGGAGATGTGGGCACCCTTCACCCCATCTACCAGGTCACCTGCCAGCCATGGATCACTTTCATGGCTAAACTTGGTAAGTGTTTTCTTATGGGCTCAAATTAGGGTCAAAAAGACTCTTTTTAATACTTCTAATACTCTTTGAACTTGTAAAGTGATGTTCAGAAATAATGCCAAAGTTTGTAGTTGTAAATCAACATTTGTAAACCTGTAACATAAAGTTGCAGATATATTCAATATTGTGCATGTGTAGAAAAGATCTGTATTTGTTAAAAAAAAGAAAAAAGAGAGAGAGCAACTTTTTTCTTTTTTTAAACATGCACAAACTTTATCCTGCAGATTTATTTTACAGGTTTATAAAGGTTGATTTAAAACATGGGAATTATTTGTGAATATAACTGTACAAGCTCAGAATCTAATTTGAGCCCATATTATTTAATTCTCTCATATTTTCTGCCAGAATGTGAATCACAGCAGCTGAGTCATCTGTCAACATGTTGATGATCTGATCCAGAGCTCAGCAGTCATTACTACAGGATTACATGACCACTCAGTAGATATTACTACATTATTAAATAACTACTCAGTGGTCATTACTACATTATTACATGAGCACTCAGTGTTCATGGGTCAGACCACGCCCATCTTTGAACTCTGCTTCATTTTGGACTCAACTACACATCTGTGTTGGTGACTGTATCTTGCACAGCTGTTATACTGTCATGCTGATAACTGGTAATTATTTCAGACAGACTGACTCTCCTGACGATGAGAGCTTTCATATTCCGCCGTACCTCTCACTCTCTGTATCTCTGTTTGGTCCCCTCTGACTGGATGGCTGATGAACAGGCTGCCCCTCCATTCAGCAGTGCACTGCTGAAATAGCTTCACACTTCTTGCTGCCTTCCATCTTAGCAGAGATTGGCAGTTTGGTCAGTTCCCTGGCCAGTGATACAGCTGTGAAGGCATTTGAAAAGACCAGGTGAGTGTTTTGTGCTCGGTGTAAAATGACTGATCATTTTGACTCTTGATTACATTTTGTGGTGTGAATAAAAACTGTTGCTGTATTAATGTTAATGTTGTGGTATTTACTTGTTATTGCTGTTGCATGTTGCCCAGGTCTAAATGATCTTGTCAGTCACTTGACTTTAATTGATGTTTTAACACCTCTCACTGTTTACATGCTAACTGACTTTCCAGCTATTTACTAGTTTCTCCTCCACAGCACGTAGACTAAGGTGACTGACCACCACTGCACTCTTTTTTGTTTATATATGTACATCACAATAATTGTTTTCTCTACCTCTAAAACCTTTTAGCTTCCCCCCATCTGGAGATGTATTTGTACCATTTGCTCATGTCCAGACCCTCAGCCAGGCTCCAGACTCCACAAGGAGCTTCATTCTCATTGGTCGCAACTTTCATCAGTGGCATTGTAGCACAGAGCAAGGTAACTGTCACCTTCTGCCTTGATGCTAATCCAGTGCTGCTTACTAAACTGTACAGTATAAACAGTGAATGATTATCAGTCCATAAAGCAACATGAACTGTGGTCAGTAGGTTTTCTTTCAGATACCTGCTAATGACATGATGTTTACTTCTTTATTTCTGGTTCATAAGTTGCATGTATAAGCTTAGAGGTACTAACATTCAAAGGCAACTGCAGCAGCAGATGAATTTGAACTGTTAGATGTCCATGACCTGGGAGACGGAGAAGCCAACGAGTACTGAGTTAAACAAGATTTTGACCTTTTGATTGTCATGAAAACTGAACCAGTTAGAGTCCAAAGTGGAATTGGAAACATTATGTTCCTGTAAATTGCCATTTGATAGTGTAATCTGTAATAAGGATTCTAACCCCTCATAACAAGTCCATCTCAATGTGCTCTACAAAAAAGCCTCTTGGACCATAAAAGTTTATCTTGATGGATTTTTTGCTAATATAATGTCTAAAACAATGAATGAAAATGAATGAACTTTTTGGATTTTAACTTTATGAACACAAAATTTTGTATACAGCCTTGATGGTGTGAGGTACATATTTTTGATATAAATGAGCGAGATCAACTGAAAAACATGGCCGCCATCAACCAAAATATCTTTGCAAAGGCTTAGCTCTTTAACCATTTGTCCAGTCATCATAAATCTTGTAACATAACTTCAGTCCATGATTTTTACCAAGTTTACCAAGTTTACCAAAGCATTTGGAGCACGACCTACAGGTGTTCCACAAATGCCACAAATGTGTATCTGAAAAGCTGGTGTACAAGTATTATTCAAAATCTGAAGTGCCATATCGATTGGTACAAGTGGGCGTGGCCTAACACATATCTGCTCATAACTCTGATGCCTTTGAACACTCCTGACTTCAGTGGAGACATCCTGCAATGTCTGAACATACACACTGAGTTTCATTCACATCTGATGAAAGGGGGACAAATGAGTGCTCAGGCTGTGTGATGACTCAGGGTGTGATTGGTCTCATTCCTTTAAACACAATCAAACTACCTGAAGTGACTTTGCTCAGCTTTGTAAAACCTGAAACTCACCTGTTGCTGCTCGTGGCTTTAACTTTTGGCAATTGAGCTGCTTTCTTCTGTTGTGGCTAAGAACCTGCTAACTGATGCTTGCGGCTACATTAATAGCATTGTTTTTTCTCCGTATGAGTTTTCTTGACAGTGTAACAGTGCCAGAGGATCCTGGCTGTGGCATATTTTGTTTAACTAGTCTGCTCCTTTTCAAAACTCTGTCTTTGGCTTTGGAGAAGACTTACCATATGTCACACACACCAAATCAATCAATATATCATTGGATTATAATGACAGGACAGAGGCTTTAATGTTTAAACTTGACTTTAATGTTGCAGCTGGTAAAGGTGCTGCTAATAGTTTAGATACTGCTGGGCGGATTAATCTGTTATAATAATAATAATAATAATAATAATAATAATACATCATCATTTAGTAGTACATTTTTAGCATTAATTATGGGTAACTTATATGATAGATACATTCACAGAGTAAAAAGTAAAATGTAGTGATGTATAAAGTAACATAAAAAAGAAATACTAAATTACAAGTCGAGGAAATTGTATTTGAGCAAATGTACTTAGTTACTTTGCTCCACTGACACTGAGCGTTGCTGGTTTGATTCAGCCTCTTGGTGTTTTAATGCAGTGAAGATGGAAACAACATCCAGCTGCTGAATTTATCAGTTGACTTCAACTCTTCTACTTTATTAGCAGCACAGTGGCTGCATTTAAAACTCTGTGATTGGATGTTTGGTACAAGGCTTTCTCGGACTTGCAGTTCTCTCAAAAAGTCATCTTATTCTCTTTAGTCTACCACTGCACCAGTTAAATGTTATTCCAGATGTTGGAAATGCCTCAGACAGTCTTCTAACCTCGTCTATGCCTCAGATTAATATGACCTTTATTTTGAAAGCCTGGCAGCTGATAAACTTCACCTCTCTCTGTGTCAGTGGTGACCTCTTTGTTTCAGTCATAACTGGGATGAAATCAATGGAAATAAATCCTCTGATAGTAAAGAAACAGTTCTCAGTGAAGGTAACTGATAGTTCACTGTAGCTGAAACTGAGAGTGTACAGTCTGAATCAACCTCTAACAACAGTATGTTGCTAACACCTGTCTGACCTTGTGTGTAGTGTAAAGGATGAGGACCTAGCATGAGTGTTTTGTGTGGAAGCTTTAAACATGCTGTCCTTGCTGCTGCTCTTTAATTCTGTTTCTCTGTCCATGCCAGCTGTCTAACATACCTGTGTTATTTTGCAAGTCTGTGCTTACATCAGTTTGTGTTGAGCTGTGTGTTTCACTGTCCATGCCGCCTTGCTGTTTGTACCATCTCTGTCTGCCTACAGAAGACAGTTCAGATGAAGAAAACACCCCAGTGCTAAATAGGTTCACACGTAAGTTTGCCTCTCAGCTTGACACATTGATGCTGATGGGATGTTTTAATTAATGTTTTAAAAAGATGATATATATGTTTAATTTACTTTATTTAATGTGTGTGTTAGTTAACAAACCAGCAGCTTTCAAACACAAAAGTGATTCAAAGTGTTTCCCGGTTTTACATGAGACAGAAAGCAAAGACATCAGGCTCTGTTTCTGTGAGTCAAGGTGTGAGGTACGAAGTGTTTGAGAATTAATGGGGTTTGTGTGAGAGGTGTGTGTGTGAACACTTTGTCAGTGCAGGGCTGCACTTTGTGCATCACACCTACATAAGAGTCCAATGACTTAATTTAAAAGATAAAAGGAAAATAAAACACATTAACACTGACGAGATAAACAGAGGTATATAAATCATAGTGTAGTTTTAGTGCAGTAACAAATATCCAGTTAGCTGCTGCTGTAGTTTAGAGACCTTAGATCTTGTGCAAACTGAAACACTATTATCTCTGACATCACTGCATCATTTCCTCTTTCATTTCATTCCTGCAAAGACACAATGTCCTGAACATATAGATAAACAGTGGAATGCAAAGAATAAACTCTCCATGTTTCTTCTCTCCCATTGATTATGTGCAGTACATTTGTGTGAACAAATGTGTGAATTTAAAGACCAGCATTACTGTTTCCTATAAAGCTTTTACTGTATGTATGTAATTCACTGCATTTGGCCTTATGGCTTAAAGACCCACTCAGTAGTTCTTCAGTAAATGTACAAATGAAAACTACTGCCATGTAAAACGTGATCTCTAAGTGATGGTCCGGTGCTGTTCATTGACTGCACGCCTACACTCTGTAAAGAAGAGATGAAGGAAGCCACAGCTTGCTGTGTGGTTTGATTCATATTTCTTTGCTGTCTCACTCAGTTCCTCTCTCTTCAGCTCATAAGGGCTTCCAGCGCTTTGAGGCTCTTGAGCAGAGTGATTGGTTCAGTCCAAGCCAGGCCGGGGCAGGACTCGCTCCCCGCCAGAGGTTCCTTTATATCAGCATCCTGGATAAAAAGGTGACTTGACATATGGAAGCCTCTGTATTGTGAACATCCCTCAGGCCAAGCAGAGAATTAAGATACCCTGTTTGTATTTAAATGTGATTACTTGGAGATGCATCATACCCTCACTGAGCACTTTATAAGGAACACCTATAAACCTGCTTGTTCATGCAGTTATCCAATCAGCCAATCATGCACCAGCAGTTATAAAATCCTGCAGATCCAGGTGAGGAGCTTCATGATTGTTGGTCTGAGTGTTTCTCAAACTGCTGATATCCTGGATTTTCTTTTTTTTTTTTTTTTTTTTTTTATAAAAGAGTTTTTACTCAGAAGGGAGCAACAACAAAAACATCCAGTGAGCAGCAGCTCACTGAGGAACTGAGAACTGAGGAACTACCCAGTGTTAGTGTGCTGTTCCTAATAAAGTGCTCACTGTGTGTATACTGCTAAGGCTTTACTTAGAGTGTATGTTGTTTTACCACTTAAACCTCATCATTGTGGGAGTGAAGCAGGACTTTACTCTTAAGTTCATCTGTGCTCAGTGAAGCTGCGTGAGATCAATGTTATAAGTTCTAACCATCTTCCCTGTAGGTGACTCTCTACAGCTACAACTGGTCTGTAGATCTAGGCGCCTCTCTGAATCGTGAGCTTGTCCGCCTTGTGAAGTGGCAGAATGCGAGGGCTCATGTTGTCCACTGCCTGCTCAACCAGAAGATGGGCCTCTTCCACCACTACTGCTTCTCTGATGCACCTCTCCATGAGATGGACTCCAAGCAGGTAGAAACACTGACATATTTCATAATAGGATGTAATATTTCAGAACTTCAGCATGGTGTAACACTGAACAATCACTCTTTAATCCTCTGACGGTGATGGTCTCATCTGCTTTTATATCCAACCATTTACCATAAGTCATAAGATATTTACATCTAAGTGAAAACTACGGTGGCCCTGAGAGCTCAATGCACTGCAACTCAAAACACATGCAAACAGACAAATCAAAAACATCTTCCGAAAACATCTTAATCAGTTTGACAGCACACAAGCTTCAAATACTCACACAACGCAAGTGTTTCCAGAGGACACTAAAAAGTGATGAACCCGGCAGGGACGCACTTGCATGGATGTATTATAATACATGTTTGTACATCACAGCATGTATGTATATGTATATGTGTGTTTATTTACTCTCCTGCTGTAAACAGACAAACTTGGGGGAACACTGCCCTGCTCAGACTGCAGTTCTTCATCCAGATGAGACTTCATTAAAACTGAATCAGGTCCAGGTGAAAAGTTTTCCAATCAGCAGTAGAAGAGATGCTGGAGGGACGAGGTGTCAGTGTCACTGCAGCTCCATCACAGATTGTTGCTACTTTATTTAGGCCTGATTTCTCTCTTCAGTATCTCAGCAGAACTGCTGGACCTCCTGTATTAAATGTGGTGCTGTGGATCAATATGTGACCAATGGTATGAACATCATAAACAAAAACAAGATTTGTCTGTGACGCATGTGACTAAGCATTTCTATTCTTCTTGATTATTACCCCTGTATTTTTCTGCCTTCTCCTGTTGTCCTGATCAAACCCTGGAAATAAACCCTGTCATGTATTTTTCAGAATGAAACATTTAACTCCCTCAATGCAATTTAGCCCTTGTCACTTTCCATTTATCCTTCTGGATTATTTATGATCAGCTCTGGTGTAGAAGTCTGGATAAGAAACTTTGAACACTCTGTAGTTTTTTTTTAAGTGTGCTGCCTGTTACAAAACAGTTTTCTAAGCATATTTAACATTCCCCCGTCCCCCTCCATCCTGATATCATGAGTCAGCTGTCAAATCAACCTCACTGTTACAGGGGAGTGAGAGGGCAGGGGTGCACAAAGACTCCATTTCTAACTTCAAGTCCAGTGATTTATTTTTTACTTTATTACGTGATTACAAAACAAGTGAAGATAAGGGTAACAATACTGAGACGGGGACAGGGACCAGATCGGCCAACCAAGGGGCAAGCCCAGAGGCCAGGTGGTAGTTTTTTGTTTTGTTTTGTTTTGTTTTGTTTTGTTTTGTTCTGTGTTTTTTTCTTCCTCCTTTTTCAGGAGGAGGTTTGCTCAACCTGGTTGGTTGATTGTGGTGGGGGGTGAGAGTTTTGGTGGGCAACCCTCAGATCTAGGGAAGATGTTTTGCACATCCTAACAACACCCCTGTTGTTATTTGGGTGGAACCCACACAACACCAGCATCCAATCCCCGTGTAACACCTAGTATAATAATTTTAATTTCAATAGCCACTGGTCAGAAGCTGGAGAGTACTTATAATTCAGTATATATAAGATTTGTACTAAGGGCAGTTTGTGTAACTGTGTCAAGTTTTGTTTGTATTCTGGTAACACAGTAGAGAGTTTGAGAACTGGGCGTTGTGACTCGCAGGTTGTTGTGTCCAGTTTTGGAACAGGCTGTGAAAATGTATGTAGAGAAAGCACATGAGTAACACTCTTTAGCAGCTGCAGTTGCAGTAAACTAACAATGTTCCCATTTTCCCCATCACCATTAACATTCATGTGAAGTAAAAGGTCATTGTCTAAGGAAGTAATCAGCCCCCACGGTTTCTAAAAGTCCATTGAACGAGCTGGTAGAGACACACTGCTCCGAGATAAAACTTCCTGTTAATACATACCACATCAGTTCAGATGTGTAATCTATAAAATGATTTTGCACTGACACAGTCTTTGCAGTTGTATCAAAAGTAGCAGTGTTCTGAGTTGTGTGCAGAGATACACTTCACATTGTTTAATTTAACCTATAGTAACTAGATCAATGATAGCATTGTTAGGAAAGGAGGGACTGACCCTCAGAGTGCTGCAAGAGCTCTGCTATGATCTGCAGGATGCACTGAGCATGTACATGGTCGATGGTGAATGTTGGGAAATGATGAATTAGAAGCAGAGTGAATTAACCAACCAGTGAGCCCAGAAATCTCCATGAATAATCTGTGTCCAGTTGTTTGTAGTAATTTGAAGAAATAAAAACTTGTTGGTAACACGCACCTCTCATCTCATCTGATGTGATGAGGGCCAAGTAGAAGGTCTCTGTGTGGACATCTGCAAGAACGCCTGTGATTTAATGTACGTGCAACAGTGGCAGATGATGACACGATGCTCATTACTGCATGAATTAGTGTTTAATCAAGTAGCCGCTAGTTTAAAGAATAACATCCAGAATGAGTGGGGGTTTTAGGGTTAATAGAGGCCCATCAGAGCATTTTTGCCCCTGGGGCCCCCTAGCAGTTGAATCTGGTCATGGTGTTGTGGACATGCAGCGCAGTTGAGTTTAATTGAAAAAAGGTTAAAAATACAGAAAAATGTCACACACGGTGTTTTCCTACATTGTTTTGTGTAACAGGCGGAAGCAGGGATTTATTAGAGCAGCACTTTACAGCAGAGAAAGACACCAAATGCCCTTTCAGCCCGACCCCTCCAGCAAATTACAAAACAAGCTCAAAGAATAGAAAGAAGCAAACTTTTGCTTTCCCTCCGACGGCCCGCTCTTCATCACAGCATCACTAATGAGTGCAGACAGAAGGCAGAGTCAGAGCAGCAGAAAATTTGCCTGAACAGAGCTTCATCTGTCATGGTCCTGATGAGAAGCAGAGGGAGCACCAGTGCAGTTTGACCCTCCAGCCTGTGGGCATGGTGCACTCTGCCACACTGGGGCATCTGGTCCCTGAGCTGCTTCACTGAACAAACTCGCCCAAAAGTTCCTCTAAACAGCAACCAGGGAACACCAACACTTCTCTAGACATCCAAGTATCTAGTAATAATACCAATCAACACTAATGTGCACTGCTATGAATATACAATGTACAATGTATAAACCTCTCCTCTCTACCGTACCTCCACTGGACCACCTTAGTCCTGTGGTCATAGCCACAGGTCATGGCAGTTACTCAGCGTGGGACCCGGAGCATCTAAGTGTTAAAGCTGACCATGCAGACACTAATGCTTTAACCACCACAGGGTGAGCACATACAGAGCAATCACAAAGTATCAGACCCTTCACTCTTTCACATGTTGTCATTTTGCAGCCTCATGCTAAAATCATTATGATTAATTTTTCCTCATCAGTCTTCACTCAACCCATGAGGACAAAGTAAGAACTGAATTTTAGGCAAATTTAGTAAAAGGGAAAAATCTGAAATATCACATTGACATAAGTATTCAGACCCTTTACTCAGGACTTCGATGAAGCGGTGATTACAGCCTCCAGTCTTCTTGGGTGTCTGCCTGATAACCTTTTACATCTGGGTTTGTGGGTTCTCTGCCGTTCTCTGCAGATCCTCTCAGACTCTGTCAGGCTGATGGGAACCGTCAAGAACATTCACAGAGTTGTCTCTAAACCACTCCTGTGTTGTTTTGGCTGTGTGCTTAGAGTCATTGTCCTGTTGGAAGAGGAACCTTTAGACCCAGTCTGAGGTTCTGAGCTCTGGACCAGGTTTTCATTTAGGAAATCTCTGTACCTTGCTCCATTAAGCTTCCCCTCAGTCCTTACCAGTCTGCCTGCAAGCACATGGGCCAGCTTTTATAGTATTTTTTCAGCAGTTTTTATTAAGTCATTCCACTGATTCTTTCTTTCACTTTATCTCCGTCTTTCCAGAACCCCAACCCGTTCCTCGGCCCCTCCACGGAGCCTGATGCGTTGCTGCGTAGTGCGGTTCCTCCTCTGCCCAGTAAAGAGCAGGGCAGGCTGGGCAGCTCTGGCCGGAGTCTTGCGCCGCTCCACTTCCCCTCTGAGCTGCTTCCTTTTGATGAGGCCCTGAGGGACATCTGCACCACCCGACCATTGATAGAGGGGGACGCGGTGACCCGACATGGCGGGCAGCTCTTGGACATCAAAGCTGCTGAACGAAAAGGTTAATCCTGCTTCTACCACAACTAATACTAATACTAATGATGATGATGATAATAATAGAGTTTCTGTCCAGTGATGCAGTCAGAGGAGGAGTGGTAATGACTTTGACTTTGTGCTGACAGAACTGGAGAAGCAGATGAAGATAGAGAACCTGTTTGTGACTTGGCAGCAGAGGTCAGCACAGTCTAACATGCCCATCTCAGTAAGTCCTGACAAAAACATTTCATATATTTAAATACACTATTGTAATAGTTGAAAGAAATATTCATTCTGCAGGGAAATTGGACAGAATCAGATATTTCTTCTCCTCATATACAGTGAGTCAGCTTCAACAGTTAAAATCACAGTAATAGCCGACATCACGTTTGTCATTTGTCTGACATCATCATCACTGTGATACAAATCTAAGCAGCCTCAGTCAGAACAGTTGTTTCACTTCAGTGCATCACAGTTCACGGGGAAGGATGGAGACAGTGTTGAGGAGAGGGACACTGGGCCCTCAGCTACAGTTTCTTCATTTTTACTGTGACTGGAAACATGAAAAGACTGGCTGCAATACCAACACAGTCTCAACTGTTGCTGTTCTTGAACCTTTCTGGTTATAGTTATGAAATCTACAGTCTCTTCTAAGAGTTTTGCTATAAAAACTTTGCATCATATTTCAAGCAAAGTCTAGTTTGTCAAAGTTGAGTGAGGATGACACCTACCAGTCTCAAACCACTAAAGTGGGTCTGAAAGCTAAACACTGTTGGTACTTACTGTATGTAACAGCACCATGTGTGATTATGAATATCAGGCTCAATTACAACTATACTTACATCAGCATCAGTGGTATTGAAACAGACCTGCTGTATATGAACAGTGACCTCAGATAACCTCTGTTATGATCAAACTGACTGGACTTTACAGTTATTCTTTCCTCAAGTGTTAGTGAAGTTTAACATGGTGTTGGACACATTATAAACATGATTTCAACAATATTACAACAAATTGGATGAGAAGAGGGTGCCAGACTTGAGTATCAATTCCTGTAGTGTGACAGCAACCTAATATCAACAATAGCTAATGGGCACCGGCAGGACCTGGGGATGGTGCCTCTCACTGCTCTGTGGTTTTGAGGAACTACAATTACAGTTCACTCCACAAGGAAATCATTTAGTAATGCTGTGTTTCAAAATGGGGAATATCTGGCCTAATTAAAAAGGTTTCTGTCTGCCACACTGACATCTCGGCAGAGGTCACATGCTAGCATCGTGCTTAAGTGTATCCTCTACAGTATCATCATCTTATCTTATTGTGACAATAACCATGGGTGTGTGAACAGGGGGTAGACTTGGAGACCCTGAAGCAGTCGTCCAGGCTGGTCCACTACTGTGCCACCCCTCTCCTCTTTGACCCTGTCTTCCGGAAGCAGATCCAAGAGGAGCAGATTGTTCAGCCTCCAGTGAAGGTATGTTCACTCTGACTGACACTCTGCCGCCTGAGTCAGAGGGAAGTCACAGGAAGTTCAAGTGTCCTGAACTGGTGTTTGTAGATTTTATGAGTTGTTTACATTAACATACACCCTACTGACCACACACACAAACTACACCAACATCTTCTCTGTTGAAGCTCCTGTGTGACATCAGCTCATGTTTGGGGGTTGTTAGGTAAAAACAATGAAAGTCATTCTAATGTGCCTGTCCATCCAGATGTTGCTGCTCATCTGCTTCCAGTTTGTGGTGGCAGCAGAGTAGCCTGGGCGACCATAGATGAGTGTTTGTGTAAATTTACAGGTAAATCAGATCTTTGCTCTCAGCTCAGCTCCAGATTCATGTGACAATGTCCGCATCGCTCCTGTCACCACAACTGTCCATCTTTCAAGGTAGATGGACTCCTTCAGTTAGGGCACCTCCTCCCAAATTGTTTCCCAGCGGAATATTTGATCTAATGCTCTAATGTTGTAGCTCATTTTGGCCTCCATCCATTTCTACCAAATCATAGACACCTTCACCAGCCACAGGGTGTTTTCAGGTGCTGGGGTCGGTCTGGTTGAGCCATGACATGTTTCCATTATAGCCTCACAGCACAAGATAACTGCTCTACACTGTTGTGGTCCTGCTTGGTACTTGAGCTGAGCATGGCCGACCCATCAACCAGATATGGACATACCCTGCACTGTTTGCTCTTGTTGTTGTAGGGAGAAACTATACAAAATAAAAACCCAGTGAGCTGTAGATGAGATGAACCGCTGCAGGTGACAGATGGTGTGACATCATCATTACCTTGCTATGTGGTGCAGTGGAAAAACAGCCATGCTAGCATTGCTCAACTTCCTCATGGCTGTTCACAGCAGGATATTTCAGGGCCTTCACACACAGCTGCCTGACTACATCCACAGTTAACGTCCCCTGTAGAAGGAAGCCTCAGCAATGAGACAAAGACTTTGAACATGACACATATGTTTTCCAGGACACAACCAAGATACTCCAAGAGGACAACAGGCAGCCTTCTTGTTGTGTGGTGAAAACTCCAACATAGTCAAAGGAGTCAAAAGGTTGTTCAATTGTTCGTAGTCTCTCAGCTTTGGTCACTGTGCCCCACACAGAGCTCAAAGGGTCATGAGGACAAATCACATTAGGACACTAACGTATTTGATGTCAGCTAACTGTTTGTGTGTTTAAGTGGTGTGTTCTGTTCTGTAAATGTTAATGAAACTGTGATACTTGTGTGTGACAGAAACGGCATCGCTCCAGTGACTCCACAGCATCAGGACGGGACCGAAGCTACAGCACTGACTCGGCAGACATGCTGCCCAGCCGCCTGAAGGAAGAACCCTGGCTGCTCGAGATTTCCAGCACCTTCCTCCAGCAGTACGTCCAGTACCTGCAGAGCATGGGTTTTATCCTGGTCCAGGTCCGGCCTCAGTCTCCAGCTCGCAGGTCTGTCTATGAGAAAGCGTTATTTTCATATTTTGTTTACTTGACCACTGCCTCCGTTTGCTGGTTGGAACATGTTAGGATGATTTTGTAGACTTGAACGCATATGACAGGATACTGCTGTAAACTGTGAAGCAGGACACATCCTGCACATCCAGTCCTATTGACAGAAGATAAAGTAGATACACTTAAACTCAAGTCCTAAACTGTTTTCATCCAATACAACAGCCCCAGCCTTTGGAAAGATCTGATTCCTTTAGTAAATCAATGACACTGTGTGTTAAACAGCATCAGTGTTTTTCCTCATGTATCTGATCATTCCATTTCTGCCTCTCTACCAGTCCCTTAGTCTCCTCTCTTCCTCCATTGTAGCTACATTCATCCATTAGTCATCACATGTGTTTTGACCCTCCTCTGACCTCTGACCTCCTGGCATTGCTGCCCCATGGCTGATGGTTGGAGCATATGCCTGTCCTGCCTGCCTGTCACTTTCTAGGCTCAGACCATGTGACTCATTCTGAATTGTGTCTTATGGCTTGGGTACGTGCTGGTCCATCAGCCCCTGGGCTTAGACTGCTCTGCTTTGACCAGACCCCAACTGACTCCACCCCCGCTCTCTTACAGCATCGCCCGGGCCCGTGCAGCCATGCTGAGCTCGATGTCGTCAGAAGCCAGGATGTCTTTTTCTTATGTAAAGCAGAAGAGTGAGGATAGCCCTAAGGTTAGTGGTCACCTTAGAGACGCAGAGATCTTCAGCCGGGCTGTGCTGTTGAAATGAATAAAATTACAAGAAAATGTCTAATTTTCAAAACTAAGTCCATGGATCCAGCTGTTCCCCAAAGACTTCCCTTCATTCCTCCTAATGATTTTTATTTTATTTTTCATTTTAATCTATTCCCTGAGCCACATTCAATTTGTGAATATATTTGTAGAGGCTAAACAGTAGTAAAGGTAGGAACAGTGAGGTTAAACAGTACTGTATACATGATCTAAGAAACAACCTGCACTGCCTACAGAAGGAATATCTAAACACGGACTAAAGTGCTGTGATATGGATGAGGTGAGGCAGACCATATAGACTGAAGGCAGTGCTGTGAGTCAAAGTGCTAGCTCAGTATAAACCGGGCACTAAGGGCCTGATTTACTAAGATCCAAAATAAAGAGCGCTAAGTTGCGTGTGCACACGGATAGATTGCACGCGCTGCCTGTTTGGGGCTTGTGGGTGATTTACTTAGATTAACAGCGCAATTGACTACAGGTGCAAAAGTGATTGAGCCCGCCCTATTTAAATGAGGATTTTGCGCGAGTTAAGGGTGTTCACCATGGCGAATGCAAACGAGCAGACCCAACGGAAGCACAAAAGCAAATTTGAAGCCACGGAATTGGAGGTGCTGGTACAAGAGGCAAACAAGCACATTTGTGAGTTTCATAGCAGGCACTGCATGACTCCTCCTTGTGACTGGATCCAAATCAGCTCCTACTTCACGGAGAAGCTCCAAAATGGCATCGCCGGATAACCGATATGTCTCGATTATTTTTTCTTCTGCCATTCCAAAAAGAGTGACATGAACAGAAAAGATGCATTCTCTCCGTTGCCTGTCGTGCCTACGCTGCCTCCTTGCAACAATGACCGCAGCCATCTGTGCACACGGCTGTGCCAGGTAGCCTAAGACTTGACTTTCAAACGTGCTAAATATAGACGCAAAAATAATCAGCGCAATTAGTTTCAGGTTTGGTAAATCACATTGCGTGCGCAAAATGATTCTATTGCATCTACTCCTCCCAATATTTTGCGCGTTCTGGCAGGCACGCCTATATTGCATATTCATGAAGGCAGAAGCGCAAAATGGATAGCGCGCGTTATTTTGCCCGACTGACAGACGCAATCCTCGGTGCGCCCGGTTGGTAGATCAGCATCAACATGTGTTTGCGCGTGCTGTCGTGTTTGCGCATGTTTTTACGCACGCAAAGCTTTAGTAAATCAGGTCCTAAGAGTTGTGTAACTGCACTAAACAGTAGCAGCAGGAATTGTCCTGTCAGACAGTTTATATTTAAGGTTGACATGCTGTCATTAATATGGCAGTTAGTTTAGTGACATATACAGGAAGCAGTCATGTACCAGTGTCTTAAAGACATTCAAAAAAAGATCTGTTTGTTCATGTTTGACCAGCACAAAGCCAAAAGCTGGAGATCAAGCTAACACTTGACCTCATGCTTTTCTTTGTCTGCATTCTTCACAGTAAATCAGATTCATGCTTCTGAGAACAGTGTTGTGATAGTGTGTTTGGAGCTGTAATAATGAAACAGGACTGTAGTGCTCACTTCCCTGCAGGGCCATCAAGAAACATGGAGTCTGTGTTTCAGTCAGACAGTGGTAACCTTTTCAGAGCTGCTTACATCAGTCAGAGGAGGGAGAAGCTCTTTGTCCTTGTTGATGCACAGATGATAAGTCACAGAACCCACTTTTGAACTGGAACCAGTACTGTTTTTATAGGAACCTGGAGATGTTTGAAGTTCATTTTTATTATCTGCACTTTAAGAGAACATAGCCAAGCAGAAAATATGTCATGTGTGTAGCCTCTCCTCTGTCTTTAAATCTTCTGCTCATCATTTGGTGTCTGCATGAAACTTTTACATCCAACTGTGTACTGTAACCTGGAGGGCAGAGTCACAGCACAGAACATCAGTAGTATGACTTAAATTACCTACAAACAGCTCTACTACACCAACAAGTTGTAAGATTTTTCTGTGAATGAACCTTGCAGACAACAGCATCTTGCACCACTGCATATCACCTCCAGAGGGCGTTGCCAGGTGGGATTGTCCTCATGGAACTGGCTTTTCAGGTGAGATGAGGATGATGAAGGGCACTCATCACTATGCTCATTAACTTACTGTGTTTGTTAACACCACATCTTTTCTCCCCATGATACATAAGTGTTGCTCTGTAGGCAAACGCGATACAGTTCATGTTTGAATTTGAGTGTCAGTAAAGTAGGTCTGCTTCCACTGTACATCTTCTGGCCTATAAAGTCAAGAATGACAATTTGTTTCCTGGTTTCTGTTTTTTTTTTTTTTTTTTTTTAATTAGCTTTTGACCTGTTTGTTGTGCTTGTGTGGATGGATTAATCTTAATTTCCATTAATGGCTGTTTTAAAGGTCTTCCCTGTCTCCCTGAAACCTGTAGCTCTGATAAACAGTAAACTTACTCCCTGTGTTTTACGTACTGGTCATAATGATTTGTTTAGTTAATAACCATGTGTCTCCTCCTCCTACCAGGGCTGTTACTTCTGTGTGAAGCAGTATGCACTGGAGTGTTCCCGCATTCCCATGGGCCAGACAGTCAACTCTCAGGTAAATGTTGGCTCTGCTGGGTGATACACACACAGCTGTTTATATTTTTCTCTGGGGTTTTGTATGGACTGAAAGGATAAAGCATGAGCAGTATTCTACAGTTTGGTGCTAAAATATACCTCAACTCTTCAATATGGGGAGAACTATAATTAGAACTATAAACTAATACCATTAAATGTCTGTCAGGGTATAATGTGTGTTTACCATGAGGTCTAAGTGCAGACCAGCTGGAGACCATTAGTGGCTCAGATACTGCAGACAGTTTAATCCAGAGTTGGTCTCTGACAGAAGCTGGTCAGGATGTTTGATGTGAAGAGGTGAAAATGTCTCTGCATCACCCGCCCATTGTGCAACTCTTTAGAATAGTAATCTGCTGTAAGTACGTGTCACTGTAGTAGTACTTTTATTGTGCTGCAGTGCACAATAAAACACTGCATCTTCAGTTCAGTTAAAATGAGCAATCTAGGCCTCCAGAATTCTAAATCAGATTCAGATATTCTAGGCCTCTGTGTCGGTGACCGTCGTGCGTCCCATTCTCATGAATACAATTGTTCACTTGGACTCAAAGATGAACTGAGTGAATTTTCTTGGTTGAAGGTCAAAGGTCACTGTGACTACAGAAAACACATTTTTGGCCACAACTTACAAATTCATGCTAATAAACTGCAGCTGGACTGGTAATTCTATACACGACTCATGAGCCCTGGTAATCTGATATTTCCTGTCGAATACTGAGTCATAATGGACCAGTGTGTGTATAGAGGTGTGAGTGGTTATTCTGTAGCAGTCTGGTGTCACTGTGCTGCTGCCTTCAGATGGCTGCAGGGATTTAAGAATGTGAGAATCATTTCTTAATTTATAGATCAGTGCAGACAGATTTACTGATGTCTCTGCTCTAACTACAGTGAAAGTTCATTTTTGATGCATAATTTAAATACATGATTTAAACACAGGAGTGCTTAATTACATTAGTTAAATTACATTTTAGGCATTATTCAGTTATTTCTGCACATTTGCTGCAACGGTTTTGTTTGCCCTTCACAAAGCCACGTTCAGGGTCAAGAAAACAGGACCACAGTACTGCTTGTTCTGGGTAGTGTGCTGCAACGAAAATAGTGCCCTTGGTGCTCCACTGAGTCTTTAGAGTAGCCGGACAATGTGAGTCAAAATAAACTACAGTGTTCATGTTGATGAAGGAACCAAAGCAAAAGTGTGACTCACTGATGTGGTTTTAATAGTTTTTGGAAACAAGGGGGCTCAGAGGAATAATTCTGTTGTACACAGAGCTTACAATGACAATAAAGGCTTTCTAATTGTAATAAGATGTATCAGGCTTTGATACTCACACAGTACTTGTCAGTAGGAGACATTCATTGTTGGTTCAGGTCTTTTCATGTGGTTTATTTATTGACAAAGAGAAAAATACTGATCTAGCATACATGTTGATATGAATACATGTCTTTAGCAGCACGATTCTGTTGACTGAACACTTGTTGTCAGTGATAAGCACAGCGTGAGACTGTGATTTCAGCACACATACCTACTGTTTCTCAGGTCCCCAGGGTTCAGCTGATGGACTTGTCTTCCTCTTTCTCTTCCTCTCTCATTCTTTCACTCTTGCGCATATTAAAGCCCAACTGAGGCCATGCTGGTCAGGACTGCTTTGCATGACTTTCAATGTTCAGATGTTTCTTAGCATTTTTTTGCCCTTACCATTTCTTACCATGGTTCAGTACGTAGAGGCTCATCATTCAGTAGAGAAAAGAGAAGAAAGTTACATTAACTGTAAATGTAGATGATAAAATCAGTTCTTACTCACAACTTAAACATTACAGTGATCAAACCATATGATCAATAAAAAAAAAAGAAAATTGAATATACAGTGCCAAGAAAAAGTAAGTGAACCCTATGGAATTACCTCCATGTATGTATAAATATTTTCTTTAAATATGATCAGATCTTCATCCAAGTTACAATTTTGAACAAACACAATCTATTTTAACTAATAACGCACAAATCATTATTTTGTTCTTGTGCATATTGAAAATATCATTCAAACTATCACAGTGGAGGTTGGAAAAAGTATATGAATTGGGTTAGGGTTATCAAACCTGGAGTCCAGTCAATGAAACAAGACTGGAGGTGTGGGTTAGAGACACTTTGGCTAAAAATAGAATATTTAGAGTTTGCCGTTCACAAGAAGCATCTGCTGATGTGAACCATGGATCACAAAAAAAGCTCTCAGAAGACTTGTGATCAAGCTGAAAGGGTCACAGAGTCATCTCAAAGAGTTTAGATCTTCATCAGTCCACAGTCAAACAAACTGTCTATAGATGGAGATGGTTTAGTTCTGTGACTACTCGCCCTTGAAGTGGACATCCAGCTAGGATGACTCCAAAAACTCAACACAGATGCTCAGTAACATTATCAAAGAAGCTCAGAGTAACAGCTGAAGGCTTAAAGGAATGGTTACCATCTCTGTTCATGAGTCTACCACACACACATCATGGAGCATGGTGTCCTGCCACAGACACCATGGAGGAAGCTGTTGCTCTCCAAAAAAACATTGTTGCACCCTTGAAGTTTATCAAAGAGCAGCTTTCCAAATTCCAAAGGGTTCACATACTTTTTCTTGCCACTGTATTTCATCAGTATGTCTGTAATTGTTACAACAAAGGACTCTGACTCTCATTTTTCTAAAATAAAAAATGAAAGTTGTCCATTAAAGGTGCTTTATGTGCTGTTAGGATTAACAGCAGTTTACAATAGCTTCAGCCATCGTTGGTGTTTACAAGACGAGAGGTAGAGTACGTCCGCTGAGCAGCTACATCTTCTTCCTTTCATGTTGGACTGAGTGCAGATAGACACCACGGTCACTCACTATCACCAATAGCAAAAACTTAAATATAACACATTTATTGGACAGTTTTATATTATCAGACCCTTTTTTCTTACTGTTTCTGCCCCATGATGAGATAACATACAGTAACCTCACTTTTATTCCTAATGCCTGGAAAGCTGTACATCTTGCCTCTGCGTAAAGCAGATAGAAATAGTTATCATCCATTTTCAAAGCTATCTTGTATGGCAAAACACTTCAATCTTAAATTAGTAACCAACTTCTATTCATTTACATTATTATATAGGTACCCATGTTTTAAAATAGATGGAATCACTCGAACAAACACTTAGGCAAGGTGCACTCCTGTGCACTGTGGTATGCCCAAAAAAAGCCAGAAAAAAGTTTGCACCCCCCCACCCCACAATTTTCATTATTTGCTCATTAAAAGGGAAGCAACAAATAAAGGATCAACGTTGAATTTTGATGACTCTTGGCTATATGAATCCTATTTATTCAACTTACTTTTACTCCATATTTCTCCCCTCATCCACGCCCGCCCCCAAGTTTTAGAAGCAGTGGGCTAACTGAACAGTAATAATTTGGTTCTCCCTACACTGAAGAAAATTGTGTTCCCAACCAAAAGTCCTTAACCGGTGGTTCTGGGGTAAAACAGCTGATAGAGACCACTACAGACATGGTAAGACTTTACTGGAAGTATTGTAAGAGCATCTGTCAGTGTCCACATGTGTTTCTACATCTGCAACTCAAACACAGCTCAATGATGATGATTATACTTTTATTATTCATTCTTTTGGTCTGAATCACTGACTTCACTTACATACACTTCATATTGTCTGGCCTTCATGTTAATCTAGTGAGTTAAGTCACAGTGATGAAGAATATCTGCTCAGTCACTTCACTGCCAAGTTTCTATTTAACTTCTATCCATAAAATTAACAGGTAATTTGGTGTGTGGTGAAGTAGAATAATAGACAGAATAACAGGAACAATAGTTGATCTGCAGCTGAAACATAAACACATGTAGTTTATTTGAACATTTGAACAAAGGAATGATGCTGTATTTTTCTAATGAGGAGAATCTTGAGAACCAGGCAGCGTCAAAGCACAGCACAAAGCACACTGCTTTCCTGCAGGGCCTCAGGCATGAGTGCTTACCAACTGTATTGACCATGTTGACTCATTTATTTATGCTACACAGTTGTCACTATTTTTACTATTAATTTGACTGTGATATTTTTTTTTTAAATAATCCAGCTATCATGACAGTGAATAACATTTATGTATGTGAAAAGACATTTTAAATATTTCTAGTATTTCTGACATAAATATATATTATCACTTTCTGTAACTTCCTGGTGCTGGGTGAATTTTTTTTTTAGTTTTCAGTTCAGATGCTTTTAAAATTCGACCGCCTGTGAGGATGAGATGGTGTTGCTCTCCAATAGTGACTCTTCATCTGGAAAGAAAATAACTCTAATACTAGTACTTTCACTGTTCAGGGTGTTATTCACACGATATCACTCTTCAGACTTCATCGCCTTCTCCAGTCCATACTTATTCATGCTGTGCATTCCCAGAGATGTATTTTTAAAAAAAGTGTACTGTACAAGAGACAAAGCTACAGAGCTGCCTGATCTCTGAGCAGGTGAAGTCATATATATGTAAGGAACAGCAAACTATTTATAAATAATTATAATACAGTATATTTATATATTATACATCCATGTGTCGATATGTGGACTGGAGGAGCTGGGGATTGAACCACTGACCTTCCAATTAGTGGGTGACCTGTTCTACCTCCGGAGCCACAGCCACAGAAATGTAATTGATTTCTGTGGTTCAATTGTTCCCATATTGATTCTTTACTTAAATCATCATCTGAACTGTGTTGGATGCTGGGTTTATAACAGTTGGGTAGTGTTTCATCACAGGGTAAGAAAGGTCCAGACTTTCACCTGGACATCTCTGATGTATCACTGACAGTGTAAACTATTACAGGAGAAGCCTGATATCTGCCTGGTTACACCAGCATTTATATGATATATTAAATGAAAATCTGTGGCAAACTCAGTTTCATTTCAATGGAGCTGCTCCACAGAAGGGAATTGGTTTGAAGACAGTTAGGGGTTAATTTGGGGCGGAGCCCACCAGAGCTGATCCCCACTTCCTGATATTCAAATCCCACAACTCGGTCTCCTTCAGCATCTCAGCATTCAGCTGCCAAACTTATGTGTCCAAACATCTGCTTTCAGACACTGTCTCACACTGACCAGGCACATGGCGATTGTCGGGTCCTCTTCTTGGACTGAGAGAAGGGCAGTGTGCATGTAACTTCATTAAAGATTCACAATCTTCTGATGTGGCATTGTGACATTACTGTAGCCTTAATAACCTGAATGTTTCTCTGAGCTGTTCCACAGATGTAAAAATGACATGTAGAAAATTCAACAACGACTGACCGAAGCGGCTAGTTTGAAATAAGAATGCTCCTGCGTGACTAGCATATTAGCATTTTTTACTTTAGTAACATACACTGTACATACAATATGTACATAAAACATACAGAACACACCAGCAAAACTTACTAGTATATAAACATCCATAGTAGTTCACCTGTTACACCCAGGACAGAACGTGTTGGTTTTCTTTTTGGCGCCCATGCTAACAGGTTAGGGCGTCTCAAAGCCTGGGTGTAGCGCTCAAGCCTCACAGCCGCTGAGCATCATCTAGAGATTCAGCATCTCACTGGCTCCCAGCAGAAACGGACAGAGAAAACATCTGTTGATACTGACATCATACCAGCAACATGACATAAACACCTTCCACTATAGTTTCAATGTCTAGACTGAATCTGAATGACATGGACATGAAGAAATATAAATATAATATGCAGACAGTGTCCTGGACATCAGCTATGTGAGAATGTCAAGTTAAAAGTATCATTATGCACATACAAAAATATACACACAAAGAAACACACAGCACCAACACTCACAGACAGCAACAGGCAGTAAGAGTTTGAGCTAGAGGTGAACACAAACCAAAGAAGCCTTGTTATTTCCACCAGCTCCCTCATTTTATTTCCATCTAATAGAAATTTCTATAAATTCCTGGGCTCTGGACCATCAGATCATCTCCATCAGAAAAGTTAGAATAATTTAAACTGTTATTTTGATATATATGTGAGGGTCATTTCTAATTGCAGTTACTGTTTATCTGTTGTCCTCATGTCCAAGTCAGAACCAGTGTTGAAGTGGGTTCTGATTGGATCCACTGTTACTTTGCCTTTCTGACCCTCCATTAACACAATATCAACGCTGCTGTGTGACATGAGAAACAGTATGGACAAGTTCAGCCATTAAATACTGCTCCTTCATTAACAGCACTAACAACAGCTGAGCTCCTCCTGTTCTGAGTGTCAGACTGTGAAAACGCTCAATGATGAGATAGTGTTGAATGTTGAAATGTAGTAGCACAAGAACAGAAGAGTCATAAGGTCAGTAAATTTCTATTCTGTTAACAATAACTAACATTGGCCACAATAAACTACTGGTCAACCATCATATCTGAGTCAAATCTGAGCCACATCTGAGCTACATCTGGGCCAAAACCAGTCTCCCAAACGACATGATATGGATTCATGCAGCATGTCAAACAGTATTCATGTGTTGTAAAAAAGGCCAAATCATATTTTATGATAAACATTAGAGTCACACATCCGTCAGCTGACATGTAGCATTGTCAATATATTATTAGTTTTTTTTCTAATAAAAGCCAACCACTGGCTGTATATTAAAATGCATTTATAATGAAACATACGCTATAGGAAGCAGTGGGGCTCCTGCTGTGACGATGCACAGGTAAAACAAGGTGAGGGTATGGTCCACAACTCAATGAAAGTATGAAATATGTACAGGCATTGTAAATGTGTGTGTATGCAATGTGTGTCTCATTGGATTTGTGCAGATGGAAAAGGTTTGACTCCTGTAGGATCTCTTCAGTCCTCTTTCTCATCCGTCTGTATGTCTGTATGTCTGCCTAGTCCCACCCCATGTCATCTCTCCATCAGGGCAGCCTCCTCACCAAACCTCGTTGCAAGCCGTTTCCAGATGCCACCCCAGTATCTGACTGTGCGGTATGTCCCAGCCATTCTCAAGGGAGGGGTGTCTCATTCCAATCAGGCGTCAACCCTCCCTGCCGCTCTGCTTGCTGCCATCAGTCCTGGTCTCTTCCTTTCTAAACCTACATGCCTGTCTTTTTGTCTCTTTGGGAATGAATGGGTTTCAGTGTTTAATGAAGTCTGCTTTCAAACCTGTGGGAGCTGCAGTATCAAGTATCAGGTCTGGTTGGATGTAGGGTCTCAAAGACTGGTTTTACTTTTGTCAGGTAATAAAGAATTTCATCAGTTTTTTTGAAGTTCAAGGTTCAAGGCCTGAGTCAAGCTCCCCTTTGATTACCTTTTCCTCCTTGACTTTCAACAGGCTGTCCATCTCCGTGCTTGCGGGTTTGGGTGTCATGGGTGTCTCAGCTTGTGATTTTCTTAGTGTCAATGCAACCACTGTTGTCCCCTCTGCCCTTTCTTTGACAGTCTGACACTGTTTCCTCTTGCATCTTAGCAGGGGAGTAAGTGGAGCGAGGACTTTCCTCCTGGCCCTTGGTTTTTCCTGCACTGAATTGATTCAAATCCTAATGAAGTGATAGAGATCATTCTATGTTAATGACTGATGAGGAGTTCCCCAGGGTTCAGTCATAGTACTTTTGCTTAATCTAGGGATGTAGAGAAGAGGCCCTGAGTGAGAGCAAGTCAGTGATTGGATGTACTAAAAGAAGGACAGAGGTCAGTAACCTTAAATCCTGAAGCTACCTGAAGACACTGAGGTCATTTGTGCAATGTGAAGGGAGCTACCACTTCTGATTGCAAACATACATACTGGGGATAGTTAATGTAAAACAGATTTCACAATCTTATCACAGACCAAACACTGTTTCACATCAGGAAAAAAATAGATACATGTGTTTTTCAGGCATTTCATATGTAACCAGCTGTGCATATGAAATATAATATGTAACATTATTTATAATGTATGTCATATTTCATAACTTGGACTAATGGCCTCTGTATTTCTAAAATCCATGAAGACAATCTACCTCTTACCACCTTAAAAATGTGGTAAGAGTCTCAGAAATTATGTTTAGAGGTGTCAGATAGTTTAAGTCAGTTGCAGTTGCTCATGCCAGAAGCACTCAATGTTTGTATGTGTATAAAATACATCTTTAATTATTCCTGTTTGTCCAGGACAGAGAATGCAGGGCTACAACCTCAAAGTGAAACATCTCTCTCCTATCATGACTCTTCTTGTCTTTTTTCAATCAACCTGCTTTGTGTACTCTCTTCTTCCTTGATGACCTCATGATTACAGCTTCAACCATCAATGTAGCCACTGTCATTAATTCCTCTTCCACTGAGGGAGGCAGGAGACGAACTGCAGCCCCATGACTCAACCTAACCACTCGCTCTTGTCAAAGTTACACAGGGTGTTTAATTAGCTAGAAGATGAAACCTTTGGGATAACAGGTTAGGAAATAATAAGTGTTAGCTCGATAGTCTTGAGCCCACACAGAGGAGATGTAGTCCCAGTGGCTTCCTGTCTCCACAGAGAGCAGGCTAAAAGGTCACACTTAATTTGTCTGGCAGACTGCAGGAACACCATCAGGGAGAGAGAAGTTAATGTTCATCTTTTCATACAGAATATTCTTCCTCTTTCTTGTCTCTGTGGTGAGGGGACTGATAAACGTCTTCTGCCCTTTTGGTTTCTGGACAAGTGTTGAGGCGGGAAAAGGTTCCAGACAATGACACAGATGAAAGTTTCCTCAGCTACAGAGAGCTGGTACTTTGTTCTTGGCTGATGGTGCTGTCTGTTCCAGATGAAAGTGAAGCAGTGAAACACTGTAAACTTGTATTGTGCTGTAAGAAATGTAATGAATGGCACAGCGGAGCCTCTCACTGCAGCCATTTGCATTTGCAATTAATGCTTTTGTCAGCCGCCTTTTGATTGTGGATTTAATTAAATAAGATACAATTATGAAGCAGACTGATATGAAAGATGCTGACAAAAGGCTCTCACCAGAGGGCAGAAGGAGTCACTGAGCAGCAGCTCAAAGCTAGGAGCAGCTGGAACAGCAAGGTGTCCTATTCATATGCAAAGCAGAGCACAGATAAGCACTGAGAGGACATCCTGCTCATCTCACAGTGACTGCTGTAATGAAAAAAGACCTGAGTGTGGAGGTAGAGTATGTCTGAAGACACTGTGTGCTGGTAATGTCTGTGTCTGCCCTCTGTTGTAGCTCTCCATGCTCTTCACTGAGGAGTGTGATAAGGTGCGGGACCTGATGCACGTTCACTCCTTCAGCTATGACTTCCACTTGCGAGTGGTTCACCAGTACTTGGTTGGCTGCCACATGACGCTGCGCCAGGGCTACCAGCTGACTGACTTCCTGGATGACTTCATCTCCCATCACCCGGACATTCCCAAGTTCGGCCGCAACCACGTCTTCCAAGGTGACTTTAAGTCTCTTCAAAGGAATGAGAAAACTATCATCAGAGAACCATGTCATTAACTCGGTGGCTAAGTCAGTTATTGGTGTTATAATCTGCTGTTATACACAACCAACTGTATGTTTTTCTTATGAGTCAACAAGTACACACCCAACTGAACACAGATCAAGATCCATTTCACTAACACACTCACACTGGCTTCCCCTAAGTTCAGGCCTTTCACATTGGCTCTTATCAGAAGTAGATTGTCCATTTAAGAGAAGCTTCTATCATTAAACATCAATCTGTTACCAGACACCACTAAAGTAATGTACCCAGAGTAAACAGGTTCCTGTTGTTCAGTTTTAGCCCTGCTCTCTGACAGGTAACTCCCACATTTAGAACCAAAGACTCAGAATGAGACTCAGACATGCTGAAGTTGTTTTTGGCATAAAAAAATAACATAAGGCCTGTATAGATCTTTTGTTTGGAAAACACACTAAAACACTTTGCATAGACAGTCAGAAGACAAACAGTGTGTAGTGTGTGGAGGCTGAGTGAAGACTGAGTTCAGTTCAGACCAGCAGCTGAGGTGGTGCTGCTAGATGGGACAGTGTAGTTAGAAGATTATACACTGTGTCTGGTATCAGTGTTGCAGTTAAAATCATTGTTGTAAAGACATTGTTTGCACCACAACATGATTTTCATACATTCCTCAGTGACCTTAAAAAACATTTCTGCTCTCCGGGCTGAGTCTAACAGTAAACGGTGCAAAAACCCTGCACATTACCATCACGTGCATTAAAGTCTCAAAGCCTCAGGCTTCCACCCATCTGTCCACATCTCAGTCCTGATAAAGTTAATCTGCTTCAGACCATGTTTAGAAGAAAGATTCAGTTCCCACAGCAGTACTTTGGTTTGAGGACATTTATATGTTTTAATTCTTTAATTCGTTCAAAAATATTGATCAACACATAAGAGTTAATTGAAGAAGTGAGAAAAGTTAGATTCTTGAGCCTTTGTCCCTGTATACATTAGGGAGCTTCTCCATCTCCACCGGGATGATAACGGCTCACCAGCTCTACAACTACATCACTGACCATGCCAGCACCTACAGCATGAAGCCGCTGCGCATGTCCAAGACTGCAGTCACCACCGACAACAAGAAAGGGACACCTGACCTCCATGAGTACGCTCTGGTGGCTCTGTGGAACAGGTACACACACCTCTGGATAACAGAGTCAATCTGTGCTCCTACATGAGCCGCTTCCTTCAACCTGCGTCTCCTTCCTGCTTTAGTTCTGGCTCTTACAAGGATCTGGAGGGTCTGCATCACCATGACGACTTTGATGTATCCCTGGTGGTGTGCCATAATGCTGCTCCATTTGAGGAGCAGTCAGACGGGGAGAGGCATTTACTGAGGTAAGAAGATCTGATAAAACAGAGCACATTACTACTGTAACTCTCTGTAACACACTCTTCATCACTCTTCAGTGGTGTGCACTGTTTGGATGCAACATATGCAGGGTGTATTTTACACTTTGTTGGCCCCTGGTTGTTACTAACCGGCCGGCACACACATACAGATATAAAAGGTTATTATATGTGTCAGGCTGTAATCTCTGTTCTGCAGTAGAAGTAAAGGCCCTTCTGAATCCTCCCATACCTGTGTGTAGGCTGCGATTCTATGTGATCATGACCAGTCAGAGGGAGCTCTTCCCCCGCCTCACTGCTGACATGCGTCGTTTTAAGAAGCTACCACAGATCCACCGTGAACCTGGTGAGCTGAGTGGTCGGCTGCCCCCGGATCGAACGGAGGCGTGCGGGTCACGTGGGGCTGAGCAGGACCTCTGGGAGGAAACGTCGTCCGAAGCCGCAGTCACCTCGGGCCCCAGTGATGGGAATGAGTTTTACCCTCTGGCAAGGGGTGGTCCAGAAGCTCAGGGGCTGTTCTACCCGTCCCCTGTGTTCCCTCTGCTCAACAACGAGGTGGCGTCAGCCCGCAGGCAGATCCAGGCCAGCGTGGAGCAGGCCATGGGTCACTGCCGCAGGGACAACCTGTGGAGGAGACTGTTCCATGGAGAACACCTGGCTCTGGACAAACTGAAGCTGACCAAGCTGTCATTCAACGAGCTGGAGGAGCTCCTGGAGTCTGTGCAGAGTCGCTCGGTGGGGGAGATCGACCCACAACTGGTAAGGTGGCAGGTAAACTGTCAGAATAATTTCAGGGTAAATTTGGTTGATTAGTGCCACGGGTGTTCAGCTCCGAGGCATCTATTAATATTCCTTCGGGCTTATTATTCTTCCGCCAAATTTCAGCGCGTAACTCTTCCCGCAGCTTTGAGAAAACCCCAGTAAAATATACATCAAAACGTGCGTCTTGATCCCGAAAGGGGTGCTATGACTTTTGGTGTTAAAATTCCAATTTTTCCCAAAGTTATTCCCAAAAAACTGGGAATAAATAATGCATTAGGAATGCATTGGAATTTTCTTTAGAAACCCACAAAATTTCACCTTTTTTCAACAAAATCTCACCTTTTTTCTGAGTCACCCAGCTCTCTCATACCTGCATGTAGAAATGTGATTCAAACTATAAAACGGAGGAAAACTTCTGCTCTCTCAAAAACATAGGAACTGTTTTTACTTAATCACTTTTTCTTTAAAGTTAGAGTGACAGCATCAGTTGGCTAGAGTGCGTGAAGCAGTAAAAAATAACCTTTATTTTTATTTTTAACTCGAGCTCACGGCCAAATCGTAAAAAGGAGACAAATAATTCTTTCTGAAAATGTAGACATAGTGGTTGGGATTCATAAAATGTAACTTTGACAGGCAGGGTCTGCACAAAATTTAAACAGGGGTGCCGAGTCCGGCAGCAATACCTGTCTCACTCTCATTGACACCTAATGTAATCGTCTTTTTTTTTTTTTCAAAAGAATCTCACTCTGTCTTCGCACTGAGCTTACTCACTCATTTTAAGGAATATCTGAATAAAATAGAGACTGTAAGAAACTTCTGGCTTCAGTGTCTGTCACGGTGTTTTCGGTTTTTGAAAAGAAGTAACGGTTTTCTCATAATTTGCAATTGTTTTAAGCCATGTAGAAGCCAAATTCTGGGCAGATTTTCACATTGCCATGGCAACGGCAGCTCCTGACCTGTGTGCGTGTGTGCGTGCCTAGCAACCAGATAACCAACTCTCCAAGCTCCGCTAGCTTTACATTAGCCGCATGTTAGGTCTTAAATTACATTTAGTTAGGTCTTAAATATGTAAGTCCATTTACTGCTTCCTTTGTTGCTTCTCTTTTTGTTTTGTTAAATGAGTGAAGTTGTGACGGTCTCCGCTGAGACAGAGGAGAGGAGAAGCTGTCACTTCTAGTCGCGTTGCTCTCCTCGCCAGTAATGTTAAATTTAGCACTGAAAAAAACATAATAGTGGTAATTTAAATAGCGGTTCATGGGATTTATTAACCCTCAGGGGTCCCTCTGTCCTTTTTTGGACATTTTCTTCACTTTTCTTTTTTGATTTGCTGATCATTTTGGCTGTGTTACAGCTGAAGGTATGGATTTCTGCAAGAAAGTGTCTTTTTTGACATATTTTTAAAATCTAATGTCAGTTACTGTTACAGGTCTATTATACACTGGTAACACATTTTGTACCCTCTGGGGTTCCTCGCGTCCAAAAAAGGACACACAAAGAAAATGCTATAAAATCATCATATATCAATATTTTTTTCTGCTTTTTTTTGCATACATCTCTTAAACCACTTCAGTTCTGCTCAAACCTACCAAATGTTTATTAGTTTTCAGGATTTTAACCCTTTAAATGCCAGTTTGAAGACATGTTGCCTCTTGTTTTATTAAAAAAAACAACACAGAATATGAGATATTTCCTACATAATACATGATGGAGGGATGTGACATTGTTTTATATCAGAGTCTTTTATATCAAGACATTTCTCAAAACCAGAATATGATCAGGGTGACTTTTGAACACTGGAAATAAATCATGTACTCATCCCAGCAGTAGCCCCCGTGGCACTCAAAATTTCCCTGGAATTTTCTAGTTACAACTATTGTTTTACATTTTTCTGGTAATAAAAACACTTTATTCACCAAGTTCATTGCTGAGATCTGAGCAGCCGGATGATCTGGTCGGAAATAAACCTCTATATGAGCTACACTGACTTTTAACCTGTTAACCCGAATGGAAACATTGCCCAGTGTGTCTGTTGCAAACATCAGTCACAGTTTACACCCACTTCCTGCTTCAACTTTGACCCTTTGAGGTGGAACACAGTTACTGTCAGAAGTCAGAAGAAAGTTTCAAGTCTTGGCTATAAATGATATAACGATCCAAAACTCATGGTCTGAAGAATGTGGCATGTCCATGTCTTTTTTGCTAGTGAAAAAACAGTCTCTGCTCCAGGCACATGGTTAGAAAGAGTTGTATTTAATCTCTTAATTATTCAAGGGAGTTTTTTGGGCGTAACATCAAATAAACCAATCAGTGCAACTCCCTTTAAAAGCCAGGTGCGCTTGCACCTCGGCATATTGCTATTATAATGGTTCAGTGTTTCACACAGAGTTAGATTCTGTTTTTTGTCACATATTGTGCCTGACCAGTGACCCCAGTCCTGACCAGTGAGTTCAATGCTGACACAGGCAGCAGATCTGTGACACGTTTTGCACCCGTCTATGTTGACACATATTACTCTGCTCATAATGTCCCTTAAAATAACATTGAACTGTGCTACTGACTTCAGACCAGGTTTTTGTTGGTCAATCACTTTCTGCTACCTCAAGTTGGCAATGCCCCAACAATGATCCTCACCACACCTCATTTTAGGAGCATGTAAGTGTATTTACTGTTTAAACAATGTGGATGCTGGACGGGAAAAGGACAACTGTGTCGTTCTGAAACTAGTAATGACACTTGCATTACGCTTTGCGCTGGGTGCAAGATAGGGCCCTAAGATCCACGTTAATGGTCATATATATGTATTCACTGCCACTAGATGTCGCACTAGACCATCTCAGACCAGAACTAATGGGTCCCTCCCTTCTTGTTCTGAGTCAATAACAACTGAATAGTTACTGTGTGGAAACAATTTAGCTATAATATCAGCCCACGCTAGCATTGACAGCTCCACAGCAATTGTAACTGTCAGCCAGCTAGCGATAGCAACATTTGCTGAACTCATTCATAATAGCTAACATTAACAAAGAACAGACACACAGAGAGGGTGTGTGGCTTTGTTCTCTGCTCAGAGCTATATCACTAAAAACTACCCTACACTATATACACTATATCTTTACATAGAGAACAGTTGTTTGCTGCTGTGTTATTGTTTAAAATCTCACATATATAATCTATAAGACCATTAAGCCCTTAGTCAAGATCACCAAGTCCCAAGTCAAGTAGTAAACATTGTGTTTCGTCCTAATTATTTGTCCTTCTGCTGATGTGTGAGCCAAACGCACCTCTCTCTGCTGTCAGACATTGACTTCATTTTTTTATAACATCATTTTTCATGTTTGAGCGTTACAGGTTATTAGATCATTTTGTGTCAGTGGCTAAAGTCCAAGTAAAGTCATGAGTCATAGGTGTTAAAGTCAAAGTGATAGATTTTTAAAATATACTAGACATGGCAATAGCCAGGGGATTAATGCTTCATTGGTTATCACTACATTATAATATTAGTACTCAGTGCTCATGGGTCAGACCACACATCTCTAAACTCCACCTTCATTTCCATCTCAACTACACTCCTGTACAGTTTGGTGGTATCTTGCAGGTTGTGATGCTATCAAGGTGACATCTGTCCAGACACACAGACATAGAAACACCTCAAAACCACTTCTGTGCCAGTTCCTGTTACTGTAGGAAAAGACATACACACACACGCACACGCTGTTGCAGCTGGTAAATATGAGAAGCAGGAAGATCCACAGATCTAACTGAAAGGAACTACTTGCTACTGAAGAAAAAAAACTTCCATATCAACCATCAGCCAGAGAAATACCACAAGAGGGAAGTGAGAAGACTTTTTAATGTAATTTGCATGAACTGTAAAAAAAAAAATAGAGGCGGACATAACAACAGGAGCACCGTTCAGTGTAACACCACAGTCTGCAGCTTCACAGAGGAGCAGAGATTTGAGTTGTATTGATGGTGTATTGTATAGTTGAAATCCTCCACAACAGTGACTGCCATCAGTAGATGTTTAATGATGATTTATTCATTAAAGAGAAGGAGATTCATCAATAAAAAAGCTTTTATATGTATCAGCTGTAATATTTTAACTGGATGTGTCAGTGCAGTAGAGTGAAACTCTTCAGATGTAGTTCATGATGAATGACTGGCGGTTGTTATGATGACAGTGTGTGATGTGTTACTGCAGGACTGCTTTCTGACCATGAGTCCAGCCTGGTACCAGAGTCTGATCAAAGTCCTGCTGAACCGCTTCCCTCAGAGCTGCAGACACTTCGACGATAACAGCATCCAGTACCTGGTGAGGGGCTGCTCTTTACTTCCACTCATGAAGCTAACTGGTGTTTTCTGTTTTTCATTGGGCCTTAGGTTTTTCTGGATCCTGTGAAACATGGGATCAGTTCAATTCATTTCAAAACTGAGAGCTGAAATGTTTAAGTGTAAAATTATTTTATCTTGAAGGGGATCATGTTGATGGATCCTTCAGTTTATGAGACGACTCATTCCATTAGTGAGTGAGTAACAGTAGATAGAGACTGACAAACTATGAGCACAACGTCACCTATGACTCTGTTAACAGTTTTATTAGCTGCATCTTTTTTGGTCAAATCTAAGCTTCTGGTTCAAAGGCAGATGTATGGTGAGTATTTATGATCCAGTTTGGATCAATTCAGGGACTATGGAGTTATTCTTTATATGACAGTGAAAATGACAGTTAGGGATGGGTATCGTTAAGAATTTAACGGTACTACTAATTTCATCGATACCACTAATCGATCAGGAATTTCAGCGGTACTTTTGCAAGAAAAAAACAAAATAAATGAAGAACAGAATTAACATTGCTTATTTTCTCATGCATTGCTTAACAAACGAACAAAGAACATGCCCATAGCAATCAGATGGCTATTGGTTATGGCTAGGTGGCTCCAGGCTCCAGGCTGCAACATACAGAACACACATGACACAACGACGGATGAACTACAAGCTAGTTGGTCGAAAACTGTAAACTGTACACTATTCCGTCTGTGTGTAACAGACTTTTACTGGATGCTTCCAGAGATCGCTCATGTTTCCACTCTCACATGCAAAAGTCTGAACCACACTAAAAAACATTTAGCTCTCTCTGAAGCAGGGTCTGTGTCTCGGTGCTGCACTGTGCTCTGGCACACACAGAGAGAGAGAGAGAGAGTTGCAATAATAAACAGGAAATCTATTTTCATAATTTCTCAAGTACTGAAAGCAAAACCGATAACGCTGGAGCTTATCAATACTCTGGTCTTTAAAAATTTAGCCCCAGGGCCCGTTTGAAACCGGGTTTTGGTACCTGTCCCTAATGACAGTAAATGTGGTAGGCCAGTGACATGCAGTAAATGGTCCAGTTGGCCAGGAGTCGACCTAGGGACCTGCTGCTCAGGGCATTTTACCACTCGGCCATCAGGTCATTTACTACTGTCAGTGTTTTAACATTTGACCTGTGTTTTTACTGTTAAACATGGTAAAGGATCTTCACTTTTAAAATCTAATCTGTCTCCATTGTGTTTGATCTTGTTACAGGCTGTTCTGAACCAAAAGTTCACAGACTGCTTTGTTTTGGTGTTTCTGGACAGCCAAGCTGGAAAAACAGTATGTTCTTACACCTGTATGATTAATATTGTTAATATACTGTAGTTGTACAGACGGCTCAGCTGTGTATTTTCTTCCCTACAGAGTCTGAAGGTGGTGTTTCGGGAGCCGCTGCCGTCACAGCCACAGGCCAGCAGCAGCCCTCCTCCACAGCTGGTGTCCATGTATCATCACCTGGAGTCTGTCATCAACACCGCCTGCTACAACCTCTGGACAGGACTGTTATAGAGCTGATCAGACTGTCATGTGACCACAATCGACACATAGAAACAGGAAGCAACAGGAAAACTGAAGACAATAGGCTTCTGGGATGCTTCTTGCTTGCAGTTCTCCTGAGCTGCTTTGTTGCTGTGATAGAGGAGGAGATGGGTGACGTTACTGTGTTTATGCACCTACACATTTATACTACACATGATGCAGCAAATGCCTCAAGCCAGTCAGAAAAAAACTAAATTACTCCTAACTGTGTCAGTCTTAATCCTCTGATGTACTTGCTTTTTACTACAGCCACCATCACCACACTGTGATTGGCTCACAGTGATGACCTCACAGTGATCTAAGCCTGAACACATGTAAATACTCCTCTCTCTACAGCTGCATATCTGCTCTGTTAAACAGCAAGTACATCACAAGTATTAGGGCAGTGCTTGACCACACTGTTGTTCCCTCACATTGAACTAACACTGAACCCTGGTTGGTTTCATCCCTTGATGGTTCCAATAAAGTTTATTCAAACAAGAATACATCCTCAAAAATGTTGACAAAGGACAAAGACAGCAGCCTTGGTCAGGACACTTCACTAGTTTATGAGGAATTAGGAGATGGGAACAAACTGCTGACAGTCAGAAATCCAATCAGCTGTCCATCGATCATTCAGGTGAATAGTGGGGCGTCATGACCCCCCCACCCCACCCAACTCCGATATTGGATGTCAAACTACTACAGTTGCTTCGAGGGCGGGGGGCAATCAGGGTTAAAGTCAGGTTTCATCTGTACGATATCTACTCAGCGGCCACGTTTATTGAGAGATCCTCTGATTAATCAGAGCAGCACATCACAGTAACGAGTTTTTACACACTGAGAAAAAATAAAGGAGTGGAGTTTTCAGGGATCAGGACTGTTTGAAGACCTTTAGCACAGGTTGGAAAGCGGAACAGAGGTGTCCATCTCTCTGGTATCTGATCCTCAGCAAAATACTTCCAGACTGTGGATGAGGCCCTGGAGGAGGGTCCTGGTCCTTTAATGCTGTGCTGTGACACAGACTCTGATGAATTGATGGATCAGGGTCTGTTGAGGTTTTTACCAGTAGAGAAAACAACACTTCTGTATTTATTTATTTTTTCTCATTTGTGACTGACAAACATTTTAAGAGTATGCCAGCTGTTTGGATTTACTCAGTCTGATGTTTCATGCTGAAATGCATCATCATCATCATCATCATCAGTAGTCATAAACAACCAACAACCCCTTCCTGGTTGTAAACCTGCACAAGTCTCAGACAGTTTCCTCGGTTCTTGTGCCTTCTAATAGTATTTTGCTGGCTCTTCAAACCACATCAGTGTTTTAGAGGCGTGAGAGACAGCTGAGGTGTCAGTGCAGAGTGGGAGGGCCTTTATGTTTATATCTCCAACAGTATCAGACCTGCTCCTCTCTTAAAGCCCACTGCCATATCTGGTGCCCTGAAGTGCCTTCCTCTGTTCATTTCTCCTTTTTTAAAAAACCTTTTAAGTGATACTGTTGTCATTCCATCAGCTCTGCACAGAGGATCTTTGGAAACACAGTGAAAGTGCCTGAGTCAGTCTGGATAAATGTGACTAAAATTGCCTTCCATAAGCAGGAAAATTAGTCATATTAACTTTGATGATTTGCATATTGGCATGCCACATCATCAGCATTTCCACAGCACGCTGAGGGTGATGAGTTTGACTTGTCATGTGTGGGTGGTAATCATACCTCCAGTTTACAAGAGGGCATGAAGCCAGTGTCACTACATCACCACAAACATGAAGGCTTGATATGGCAGTATCTTCATTAGTGACAGGCCTCACAGCTCTGCACACAAACCAAACACGTCTAAACCTCTGTGGATGTAAAATGAAAAAATGTTGAATTCAGTCTGAATGTTAAACACTGGAAATGTGACCTGGAAATAGTTACCCCTTAGCATTTTTACACTGTACATAAACACTGCATTGTCTCTAACTGTATCATGTATATGATGTATATACAGAACACTTTATACAGTACGTAAAATGCTAAATAAACTAGTGGGATAAATGAGAATGTGATGAATCATTCTTACATCAACTCAAACTGCTCATTATTATTACTTCAATTCCACTGGCCGAGCTTGGCCATGAAAACACTAATGAGCATGTGCACAACACTAAAGTAAACAAGGAAGTGAACAATGTTTTGGCATATGCACGTCTCTACCATAGACTGTAAATAAAGATGGACATAGACTTCGGTGAATGCCAGGTTGTGGCAAGCATATACGCTCACACACCAGTCACTCAAAGAGGCCACAACACGTGTGGCCTCTTTGAGTAGAAGTTAAAGTTCCTCCAGTCATGTTTTAAACTCTAAAATCCTCTGCTATGATTCACATTTTAATCATCTCCATTTGCTTCTTGATTGAAACATCTGGATCAGGCCTTGACCCCTGCCCACCACCTGCTTGCCCTAGGTTGACAGGTGAAAGAGCACAGAGTATCAAGATGGTTAGAGGAGGAAACATCAGAGAGACCACATGTTTGAGCCTCAGTCAGACCCAGACTCAGATGAGGAGTCTGTTGAGACCAAAATCAGAGACTAGCAGATTCATCAGAATGGTTAGCGTAGTTAGCATCTTTTATTATGTGCCTGCAATGCAACAGCATTGAAGGCATATATTGTTCTGCGTAATTATTTGTGTGAATGCCTCAGCATTTTTCATTCTTCCTTACTTTTTCGTACAAAAACCATTCAACTATCAAAATGTTCAGCTTGTTCTGTAGATTATCGGATGTGTATATATATATATATATATATATATATATATATGTAGGAGCCATATATTGTTTTGATCGGTTGTTCTGTGTTTGGTTTTGTCTTGTTGTCATGGGGATTCATGCATCTGCTGCAGAGAGGAACACAACTAACAGCTGTGATCAGTTATATTTTTTGGAACAACACACAAAGGGTCATGCTAAGGAGCTTGTAAGAAGCTGTCAACACATATATCCAGAACGAGGATATGCAAAAGCCAAAGCTTTATTAAAGGAGCAGTTCGGGAACGAACAAAAGGTCGCCTCTGCTTACCTGGATAAAGCCCTCTCTTGGCCTCCAATTAAAGCAGAGGATGTGAAGGTTCTGCAGGACTACAGTCTCTTCCTTAGAGGCTGCTGTAATGCCATGGAGGATGTACAGTATCTTTCAGATATGGATATGCCTTCCAACATGTTGAGCATCATTAAAAAGCTGCCTTACAAACTCAGAGATAGGTGGAGGAATCATGCCTGTGAGCTACAGGAACGACATAACCGGAGAGTTAAGTTCACAGATATTGCTAACTTCATTGAAAGACAGGTGAAAATTTTGACAGATCCTGTGTTTAGCAATATACAAGACTCTCAATCAATAATCATAAGTAACAGAACAAACAAACCCAAGTCACAGTTTCGTCCTGGACACAAGGGGAGCAGTTTTGCTACCAATGTAAGCCCTGTGGAGAACAAATATCAGTCTGTAAGGGAAGAAAAGGAAATCAAACAAACAGGAAGGAAAGCATGCATCTGCTGTGGAGGAGGACACACATTAGATGTATGTGTACAGATGGGAAAAATGGTTCATGAGATGAAGATAGGCTTCTTGAAGGAAAATGGCATCTGCTTTGGTTGTTTGTGCACAGGGCACATCAGTAGAGATTGCCGTAAAAGGATTTCCTGCTCAAAGTGTAGCCTTAGACATCCCACTGTACTTCATAAGGAACCTGTTAAAGATTCTGAGCGGATGGAGAGGAGCCCAGGGCCGCATGTTGACAACACACTGGTGTCAAGTGGTCTTACAGGGGCTGGAGATCAGGACTGCAAACTGCCCATTGTTCCGGTCCAGGTTAAATCTAAAAAGGGAACCAAAACTGTCATCACTTATGCTTTCTTGGATCAGGGGAGTACTGCTGTGTTTTGCACTGAGAGCTTAATGCACAAGCTCCATCTCACAGGGAGGAATGGACGCATTCTCCTTCGAACCATGGGCCAGGAGAAAGTCGTAAGCAGCAACATCGTGTCAGGATTGGAGGTTGCAGCACTGGAGGGGGACAATTTTCTTGAGCTTCCAAGAGTTTACACGCAAGAGTCCATGCCTGTGAACAGAGGAAATATTCCCACAGAAAGGGATATTAAACATTGGTCACATCTGAAACACATTTGCTTACCTCAGATTGATGCAGGAATTGAGCAACTTATAGGAACCAATGTTCCTAAACCACTGGAACCACTGGAAGTGGTGTGTAGCGTAAATGATGGACCATATGCGATCCGAACTTTGTTGGGCTGGACTGTCAATGGTCCACTGACAGGTAGCAGGGGAGAGACCATTAAGTGGGAACATCCACAAATAACTGTCAACAGAGTTGCAGTCGTGAACCTGGATGACCTCTGGCAACAACAATTTAAGAATGATTTCCCTGAAAGCAGTATTGAGGAGCAACCAGGAATGTCAAGGGAGGATCAAAGGTTCTTGGAGTTTGTCATCAACTCAGTGAGACAGGTGGAAGGGCATTACCAGATTGCGTTACCTTTAAGGAACAGGGATGTCAGCATGCCAAACAACAGGAGAGTTGTTGAATAGCACCTGTGTTATTTGAAAAGGAGATTTCATAAGGACTCAAAATTTCATACCGAGTATAACACCTTCATAAATGACCTTCTGGCTAAAGGCTATGCAGAAAAGGTGCCTGAAGAAGAGTTGGATCATGGCGATGGGAAAGTATGGTACATACCACACCACGGAATCTACCATCCCACTAAAAGGAAGATCAGAGTGGTGTTTGACTGTGGAGCAAGATATCAAGGAACATCATTAAATGCTCAGCTTCTACAGGGCCCTGATCTTACCAGTTCCCTGATTGGAGTGGTGACTCAGTTTAGGAACGAATCAGTTGTGATCATGGCCGATATAGAATCTATGTTCCACCAGGTTCAAGTCCCTCCTTATGACAGAGACTTCCTCAGGTTCCTCTGGTGGCCAAAGGGGGATACGCAGCAGCTACCCATTGAGCATCGGATGAAGGTGCACTTGTTTGGGGCGACATCATCTCCCAGTTGTGCTAACTTCGCCCTCAGAAAGTGTGCAGAGGACCACGGGCATCACTACAGTAAGGAAACTGTGGATAAACTACTGCACTGTTTTTATGTGGATGATTGCCTCGTGTCGGTGGCCACGGAGAAGGAAGCAGTGATGCTTTACAGGAACCTCGTCTCTTTGTGTTCCAAGGGTGGATTTTCTCTTACAAAGTGGTTGAGTAATAGGACTGGAGTGCTGGAAGTCATCCCAGAGAATTACAGAGCAAAAGGCATGGAAGGATTGGACATGGAGCTGGATTCGCTACCTGTAGAGAGAGTGCTGGGTGTGGAATGGAGCATTAAATCAGACTCCTTCAAGTTCAAAATGGTACTTAAGGACAGACCACTAACCAGAAGAGGAATTCTCTCGACTGTCAGCTCCATCTATGATCCCCTTGGAATGCTGAGCCCTGTTGTTTTAACAGCGAAGAGGATCCTGAGAGACCTGTGTGGGAGAGGGATAGGCTGGGATGACATTGTGCCTGAGTCAGTCTCTAAAGAGTGGTTGGATTGGCTGCAGCAGCTGCATCTGTTGGAAAGATTTGAGGTCAGCAGATGTATGAAGCCACCAGGCTTTGGAGAAGTTACTTCAGCCCAGTTGCATCATTTCTGCGATGCCAGTGAACATGGATACGGAACAGTGACTTACCTGGTGTTGAAAGCCAAGAATTCAGTACACAGTGCTTTCGTGATGGGAAAGGCTCGGGTGGCTCCTGTGAAATGCGTTACAATCCCCAGGATGGAGCTTATTGCTGCAACTATGGCCGGCCGCATCGACATGCTGTGGAGGAAGGAGTTACAGATGGATCTTTTGGACTCCGTATTCTGGACAGACAGCACATCTGTTCTGAAATACATCAGGAATGAGACTTCAAGGTTTAAAGTTTTTGTTGCAAACCGCGTCTCACAAATCTTCAAGGTTTCTTGTCCTGCTCAATGGAGGTACGTGCACACTAGCAGCAATCCAGCAGACATAGCCTCCAGAGGTGTGAAAGTTGATGTGTTTGTTGCTAATGCTACATGGGTGTCAGGGCCTCATTTTCTTTTGCTTCCTGAGAGTGAATGGCCTGTTGCTCGGGAAGACCTCTATCACCTTTCACTTGGCGACCCTGAAGTCAAAGGAGTGGTTGCAGTGAATGTCGTTCAGGTCAAGGAAGAACCTGTAACTCACCTGATGGAGTACTTTTCCTCCTGGATGAAGTTAAAGAAATCAGTGGCCTGGCTCTTGAAAATTAAAAGCTGGCTCATGTCCTGTGTAAGGAAGAGAAGACAGTTATATCTGATCTTTGCACAGTCTGACATCAACAAGGAACAGCAGGCAGCATCTGTGGAACAGGAAATGAAAGAGTTTAAGAGGACAACAGGGCAAGGGAGCCTCATTGTGAAAGATCTGGACCAAGCCATCATCAGGTTCTGTCAGGGAAAGAGATTTCTTGAAGAGCTAACCATTCTGGCAAAAGGGCAGCCGGTTAAAAGGTCCAGTCACCTCCATAAGCTCTGTCCACAGCTGCAGGATGGAGTCATGAGAGTTGGTGGTCGTCTCAGTACATTGTCTATGCCTGTGGAAGAGAAACATCCTATAATCCTGGCAAAGGATCTCCACATCTCAGAGCTCTTACTTAGACATGTACATCAGGAAGTGGGACATGGTGGCCGTAACCATATGCTGTCTAAGCTGAGAGAGAGATACTGGATAGCAGGTGCAAGTTCGGCCATCAGGAGAGTGCTATCCAAGTGTATCATCTGTTGCTGCGTGAATGCTCTACCAGTTCACCAGCAGATGGCAGATTTGCCTCCTGAAAGAATTGTCCCAGATTAACCCCCATTCTCCCGAGTGGGAGTGGACTGCTTTGGCCCATTCGAGGTTAAGAGTAGAAGGAGCATGGTAAAGAGGTACGGTGTTCTATTTACTTGCCTTGCTATCAGAGCGGTACATATCGAGGTTGCATCATCATTGGACACCAGCTCCTTTATTAATGCACTCAGGCGTTTCATTGCCAGGAGGGGACAAGTTCAGGAGCTACGTTCGGACAATGGAACCAACTTTGTAGGAGCAGAGCGAGAGCTGAGGGAAGCTATGGAACAGTGGAATCAGGTGCAGATCCATGATGTCATGCTGCAAAAGGGAATACAATGGAACTTTAACCCACCTGCAGGTTCACATCATGGGGGAGCTTGGGAACGGTTGATCCGGTCTGTGCGAAAGGTTCTCAATTCAACTTTGAGGGTACAAAACTTGGATGAGGAAAGCCTTCACACAGTGAGATTGAAGCCATAATAAACAGCAGACCAATCACCAAAGCCTCCTTGGATCCAAATGACCTGGAAGCATTGACGCCCAGCCACCTGCTACTGTTGAAGACCTCACCAGCATTGCCACCAGGAGTGTTCCAACCCACAGATATTTATGCACATAGGAGATGGAAACAGGTCCAATACATGTCTGACCTGTTTTTGAGAAGATAGAAGATGGATAAAAGAATACCTCCCTCAACTGCAGGAGCGTTAGAGATGGACAGGGGTAAAGAGGAATCTTGTTGTGGGAGACCTGGTCATCGTAATGGACAGCACAGCACCTCGGAACTCTTGGCCTATGGGACGAGTGATACAGACCTTCCCGGACTAAAGAGGATTTGTTTGTCAGGTGTGAATTAAAACCCGAAGCAGCTGCCTGGACCGGCCCATAACAAAGCTTTGCTTGTTGCACGAGGCTGACACCATTTGAGGACACAATGGCTTCAGTTGTGATTTTTTCTTTTTTCTCTCTCTCTTTTTTGACTGTTACTAGACTCTCTTTACAGGACTTTGGCTGTTTGACTTTGATCAATGAGATTGTGGACTGTGAGTCATATGATTCAAGAAGAAAGAAGAGTCATGTGTGGATTAATGGACATTCATTTTGAGCTTTATTGTTGAAAGTCTTTTCATATGTTTATGTCTCCTATGTGATATGAGAGTAATTATTTACATTAACTCAATAATTAGGGGCTGGTGTGTAGGAGCCATATATTGTTTTGATCGGTTGTTCTGCGTTTGATTGGTTTTGTCTTGTTGTCATGGGGATGTGCGGTGTTTGGGGTCATGTAAGCACCGTCGTTGATAGCCGGTAAGTTATATAAGAACCTGCTTCACCTGCACAGGGGGAGTGAGGCAGTTCTTGGTAGCCGTAATTTTTGTTGACCGCTTTTCATCATCGCTTTGTTCTTTTGTTTGTTTTGATACACGTCCGCCAAGTGTACACACTAAACATCCGATGGGCGCGTGAAAAGCCGCTGTAACATCCGATTGTGTTATTAAAACCATCCGAAACATTATCTGGACTCAGTGTGCTTCTATGGAACAGCAGCAGCGTGTTACAAATATACAGGACCTATTCTGCCTCACAAGCGACTTTTAAGGTACTACAAAGCCGCAATAATATATATATTCTAATTGGTGGATTACCTTTGGAGCTCATTCTGATTGGTGGATTACCTTTAACCAGTGTTTTCCAGGTGATACCTTTTTCAAAGAGAAAACCAGGTGGGCAGCCAGACAGACAGAGCATTGTCAGCATGGCAACCTCTAAATTGAGGGAGGGGGCACACATCTGGGTCAAATTACCTGATTAGAGACTCCTCTGATATCTGTGGTGTTTATCAAGCACTTTACTGACATTTCAAATCCAGTACAGACTGCTCCAACACTAAATACAGACAATGATTTACACACCTTTCTACTGTTTTCACTGGAAATATGTTTCACTCAAGTTTGAATCAGGAAGCATTTGGCAGTTAATTTCAGTTTGTCATTCTAACTGACACAGAAACACACATAAATACAGACAAGCAGAGAGGCACACAGACAGACAAACAATCAGACAGACACAGAAAGGTAAACAAGTAAACAGACAGACAGGTAGATAGACAGACACACATAACCAGACACACACACACAGAAAGCTGTTTACAAGTTAGTGCTCAGAGGGAGACAACATGACCAACATGTTTCAGTTCTCAGATTTTGCAGCTAATGGAGTTCAGCTCAACATTTTGGCATCTAACTTTTCAAAGCACTGTTCATCAGTTAAAATGAGCTGCATATTTCAACTATTTTAGCATTGTGTCAGTAATCTCCTTCAGGTGTGAAATTACAAGCTTTGATTGTACATTTCTTCTTTCATTGGTTTTTATTTTCAACCAATTTATGCCATTTAGCTTTCAACTTTTTACATTTTGTATATTTTTTACAGTTTTGTGCTTTGTCACACATTACATTAACTACTCAAGCCTTTTTCAACCATTTCAGGACATTCAACCTCCAGCTTTCAAGTTCTGCTTTTAATCCTGTTGCTACAGCTACTTCAGCTATTGCTTCAGCTACTGCTTCAGGAGTTGCTTCAGCTTCTTCAGAATTGCTTCAGCAATCTCATTCAACTCTCAGCATTCACGCGCATCTTACTTCTTCCGCCTTTCTATGGTCTCTACCTACTCCTTCATACTTTTTCGTACAGAAACCATTCAACTTTCAAAATGTAAAGCCTGTTCTGTAGATTATCGAATGTATACAACTTTTTCTATTTATAGTTTTCAAAATATTAATCTCTTTCTGTGATTTTTTTTGCTGTTCAAATGAATGGAGAGAATGTTCAAATCCTTGAAAGCTTCAGCCTCTGAGCTTCAACTACTTCAGCATAATTTCAGATACAGACTTCATTCAAACTTTAAAATGTTCACAAGACTTTCAGCTATTAAACTTGTGTTCAACTTTTTGATATCTTGTACAGTTTTTGAATTATAAGTTTTATTTTCATGCTTTTTTCAGATTTTTTGAGTTTATAATGGGTATATATTGCAAGGAATGTTCAGGGCTAGAGTGGATGACATCTTCGCTAGAGTGGGAGAAGCTCTAAAATTTGTCTGAAAAAAATCTGTGTAACTCGTCCTTACGGCCACATATTTCGATCTTGACACATCATTTCTTCATTCATCATTAGTAGACAAATTCGTCCGCTTTAATTTAAAGTGACTACCAAGCACAGAGCAACAGAATATTTTATTATTATGGGAGATCTAACTGACTCCACATTACATATATTCTAATTGGTGGATTATTGCTCATTGTGATCGGTGGATTTCATTTAACCAGTTTTTTCCAGGTGCTACTTTTTTCAAAAAGAACAACAGGTGGGCACCCAGTGAGACAGCATTGTCACCATGGCAATCTCTGAGTGGAGGGAGGGGGCACACATCTGGGTCAAATTACCTGATTAGAGACTCCTCTGATATGTGTGGTGTTTATCAACCACTTTATTGACATTTCTGCAATGATTTACACACATCTCAACTGGTTTCACTGGAAATATGTTTCAGTCCAGTTTTAATCAGGAAGCATTCGGCACTTAATTTCAGTTTGTCATTCTAACTGACACAGAAACACACATAAATACAGAGAAGAAGAGAGGTACACAGACAGAAAGACAGGCAGACAGACACAGACACACAGACACAAATTAATCTTACTGAAATTGAATTTAACCTACTCCACTGGTGTTATACTCCAGAGCCTCCTTTTATGTTCTTTCGGTTGTTAACTACTCCTGCATACTTTGTGCTACATAAAACACACACACACAACTAACGCAGTATCCGGGGAGAAATGGACAAAGCTGATTGTTATTGGCTAATTAGACTCATTACCAATTAATTGGTTGATTTAGTTGCTGTTCTCACCTGGGAACTGATATATCTGGTAACCTAAAGATTTTTATAGTTTTATCATATATTATTATTATCACCCTATAACATGTTTAACCTCTGCCTCCCAGGATTGGTTTCTTAGGTTTGTGACGTATGAAACCCTGGCTGTCTGAATCTGTTTTTATGAGACTGTCATTGGTTCACTGCAGTTCAAGGTGGAAACACTGGTGTTGACGATTATTTCACTCATATGTCTTGTATTATATAAAAACATCATGTGGATGTTAAACAGTTGATTTCCATCAGAGGGTCTTTAACTGTCATTAATCGCTCAGTGACTCGGATTCACAGGTTTGTGGTTGAGTCACCTGTGTCCTCACTTCCTGTGTGTCCAGTAATCCTTGATCCAACCCAGACCCTGCTGTGTGGAGCCTGCAGTAATGAGAGATGATTATTGTTTTTTTATTGGGTTTCATAATTGATAAATAAAAAGCACACTCACCTAGTGGCTTGTATTCACAGCCGATGTATCCCTGGTAGTCGTATGTCTCCAGAGTGTTGAACAGATAGCTGTAGTTGAGCTCTCCGGCGCTGTCAGGCTCATTCCTGCCTGGAACCTGAGCGATCTGAACATGACCTGAGAAACACAAACAAGAACAACACCTCTGTGTTTCATCTCTATTACCTCCAGAGGCTTGACTGAGCGTGCTCTTTAGTCAACAACATTCGACTTCACATCATTCTGTGAAGTGAAGTAGTTTATCCTGACTAGCTGAAGAAGACAATCTGCAGCTCCATGATATCGACGACTCAAGGTAAGTTTAAATTTACGTGTGAAATGTTAAAATGAAAACAATCTGGTAATAAAATCCTTGTGCTGCTAATCATTCTTGCAAATCAAAATTTTGTGCTTCCAAAATAAACCGTTACAGTTTCATCGTCAGAAATCAAAGTTTGACCAATAAAACCTGTGTGTGTTTATTATCTGAGTCATAAACAGGTTGAGCCTGACAACAGTTGGAAGATAAAGGTGAATGAGAAGATCTGATGAAGCCATTGTCATTGTCCACTTCCTGCTCACACAGACTCAGTAGAGAGCAGCTGCTGAACATAGTGGAGCATTCAGCAGCTGAAGAGGAGCTGGTGGAGACCAAACACAGAGCTAAAAAAGAGGGAACCCTGGACGTTAAACACACTCCACAAGAATCATCATGTTGCTCTGTCTGCCTGACATGTAGAACTGTTCACTAATGCAGTTACCATTGTAACACAGTCACCATGTCATCTTTATAAGGTGCGTTAACAGCTTATTCTGCTGCCTCGAAGTGGCCAAAAGAATCAATGAGGGTCAATCCTGCTGTAACTGCTGTCACAACATGAACACACATGGCTGCCCTCCCCACTTTACTGAACCATGTAAGAAAACACTTCAAATGACTAACTAATTAAACTTCCTGGTTTCCCCTGTTTGTTCCAGGACAGCAGCTGCCTCAGACCCAGCCCCCCTCAGTAAGGGTGATGATGAAGGTCAAAGTCCGACTCAAAGACACATCACCACTTTTACCCCCCCACAACCAACACCATCATCATCTTACTCACCAATCATGGGGAAATACTTGTGTATGTTCTCTGTCAGGTTTCCGTCCATTATTTGCCAGTGAAAAAGATCCTGAAACAGTTCAGACATTTGTTCATTAACAGCTTCATGATGTTTTCTTCTTCTTTCATTTCCAAGATAAGACAAATAAACAGAGCACCCACCATTTGCAGCTTGATGTTCGGCCTCCCAACCTTCTCCAGGATTCCTGCCGCTGCAGACGCAAACATGAGACTCACATTAGACAGCCACACAGTCTTTATTATATCAGTTATTATTACCATTACTACACAGGAAGTATGGTTTCTTTATCTTTTCTGGGTGTCAGAATGACTTATCACAGGTCAACTCTTCTAGCATGGAAGAACACCATTCATCAAAAAAGCTCATTTTAACTCATTCATACACTCACATCCTTTTGATGGCCAAAAAGGTCAAAGGTTGTGACTAACTAAAAATGACACCACAGGCAAGTGCAAAGATGAGACTGGAATTGTTCTGATACCAATATCAAACACCTGTGATGCTGCCTAAAACACTGGATCACGTATAAATCACTCTATGCACCCTGCAATTTTCCCAGAGATCAATTCTTCTTCTCTGCTCTAAAACAGTAGCCTACACAGGAAGTTGCACTTTGCAGCCACTGGCAGCTACTGTTTTAGAGCAGTGAAGAAGAACTGATTTCCAGTAAATAGCAGCCATTAGCAAAACATCAGTAACTTATCTCAGTAGTAAAAAGGCAACATGTCCAGTATGAAGGCTTTCATTTGGAGGAGATTAGATCATAAAAGAAAAGATTCTATGGCATTAATGTATCTGTTCATTTTTTTTTTTTTTTTTACAAAGTTTAACCTGAGCCATACAACTGTAGCGTTAACGCCATATTTTAGGATTTACTCTCGTTGAAATGGGGCACCAGTCCTCTAGGAGGAAACCAATTAATTATTTCATTGCCAAATTTATCAATCTCATATCGGAAGCCATGACTTCTCGATTCAATGGATCTCCAGTCTCTACGTCAAAAGAATACAACAGGACAACAACTGGGTGTAAATAAAAGAGTTTATTAACTAAACTACTATCTACAGAGTAAATGCAAGGTGTAATAATCATAAAGATGAAAATAATAATGAAATGAGCAGTGTGATGAGTTGGCAATGGTGGGAGAGGATATGTTATGGCTATACACTATGGCTATACAGCTAATGACACTACATCTACGAATTAGGTTTGATGATTAAATATTGCTATATTTCGACATCAACCCAGTCATGAGCAGAGTGTTAAGACCGGCCTACTGTGAGTTGCGCTGTAGCTGAAGACCCTCGGCTGGAACCCAGGTGGCTGTGGTTGCCGTGGTAACCCTGGAGACGCGGGATCTAGGTGGAGTCTCCTGGAGGCTGTGTCCTGTTATCACGATGACGGATTCTGCCGGTGTCTCAGCGATTCAGCTCTGGTGGAGTTTGCCAGGAGACTTTCTGTCTCGGGCACTCTTGATTTCTGCTCGGCTTCTCTGCAGGCGGTCGTGCAGATGTTATCTGCTGGTGTCTCTTGTGGGTTGATGCGAAATAAACTCTAATGCTCTTCACTTTGGCTGGATAACTTTAGAGGAGGCCGGTGTTGACCAGATGACTCTAAAATTGTCAAAATCTTCAAAAAGGAAAACTTGATGATGATTAAAAGTTACAAAATTACTCTGAGGCACTTCTGTTGCTTTGGTTCAGTTGGTCTTGACTTGGCTTATAAAAGTAAAAGATCACGCATGTAGACAAAAATCATGTCACTTGTAGCTTGTGGCAAAGAAAAATAAAAGACGCGAAAAGTGCAAAAATGACTAAGAGCCATGAGTTTGTGGCTAGCAGCTTAGAGCTAAGAGTTTACATGGCTACAGAGCCGGGCTTTGAGCTGGGACTCTGAGCTTTGAGCAAAGATCTCAGCTTCTAGTTTCTGCATCGTTTCTCGCTTCTCGCATCTTCTTGTCATCTGGGTTCCTCTGACTTTTCTTAACTGACATCTGACCTCTTCTCACCTTTCAGGCTTTTCTTGGAACTTTGTGACTTGTTCTACACTGACATCTGACCAATGTGTGAATTGATCACGACTGTTTTATCCCCTGGGAGCTGGTGCATGTTTCAGGGGCGTCACCCGTCGTCTCCTGTGTTTCCACTTGGAGAAGAGAGTAATTTTCCAATGAACTTTGGAATAATTTAAATCTAGAGTTTACTTATAAACTCGCACATCCGTCTTCCACCAAGACCACAACATTAAGTGAAACTAGAAAATTCCAGGGAAATTTTGAGTGCCACGGGGGCTACTGCCGGGATGAGTACATGATTTATTTCCAGTGTTCAAAGTCACCCTGATCATATTCTGGTTTTGAGAAATGTCTTGATATAAAAGACTCTGATATAAAACAATGTCACATCCCTCCATCATGTATTATGTGGGAAATATCTCATATTCTGTGTTGTTTTTTTAAATAAAACAAGAGGCAACATGTCTTCAAACTGGCATTTAAAGGGTTAAAATCCTGAAAACT